GAAGCTTTCCAGGTAACACACTCCTGGTCACTGTTTTGCAGATTTTCATAGTGGTGACAAGTGTCTCAGGCTTCATAAATACTCCATATGGCATTATATACTTTCGAGTTCCCATCAGAAATCATTCACTTGTACCTGATAAAGTCCTGCTCACTTCTTCCCCACATCCTTTTAACACATTCCATCTCCGTACTTGGGCTGGAGCCTTTATAAGAGCCTTCACAATGATGGGTCTGGTACCAGTGTTCAAACTGGTCTTCAGTCAGACTTGACTTCTTTTGTGAGCACATACCACAGGTTTTTGAAATAACTTCAAGGTCCAACACTGCCAGTTGCAGCAAAAATAAAAAAACCAACGCAGTTATTAGCAGTATAACCTCGTTTTAACCATGAACCATCAAAACTTCCAGGGATACTAATTATCATTTGATCATTAGCATCAGTGATGCCTTATTTATTTTATTTATTTATTTATTTAATCTTTATTTAAGCACGAAACAATTCATCAGTAATTACATTAACTAAAACTATTTAAAAATTAAAACACTAACTAATAACTAAAAGCTGTTTTCCGTGAATGCCCTGCGTTATAGAGTGGCATTGATCTTGCGTTTAAATAACCCCAGAGACTCTGTGTTCCTTATATCACATAGAAGACTATTCCATAATGTGGCTCCACTATAGCTAAAGCTTTTTCGATAATAGTTAGTGCGAGGTAGAGGAACATTGAGTTTATTTTCAGAGTCCCTGAGGTCATAAGCAGAGTTACGCCATCTAAACTTAGAATTAAGATATTCAGGAGCTAGCCCGTGCAGACATTTGAAAACCATGGTAACTCTATGAATTTCCTGCTGGCTTGTCAGATTTTTCCAACTTAAAAATTCAAGTAGCTTAGTTGCATCGGCATCATAGCTGGAAAATGTCAAAACACGGGCTGCTCTAATCTGTAATTTCTGCAGCTTATCTCGTAGCGTTATCCCACAGCTATCCCAGACAATGTCACAGTAATCAAAGTGAGGTTTTACTAAAGCTTGGTAAAGCAGATGTAAGGTCGATGCTGGGATCAGATGCCTGACTCGCTTTAGGCACCTGATACCAGAGGCAATCTTTTTTGTTAATTTTTCGATGTGATTATGCCAATCGAGCCTATCGTCTATAATCACACCAAGCGATTTTGTAGAAGTAACCTGGCTCACCTGAGTGCTGTTCATTCTAATTGTTGGTGAAGCTGTGAGAGTACCCAGTCTCTGCCTTGACCCTATTAGCATGAATTCGGTTTTTGTCATATTCAGTGTGAGTTTATTCGCTTGTAGCCAGTTGAAAACGTTTGTTAAGTCCTCATTCAGACAAAGCTGTATACTCTCAAGATCACCGCCCGCATATGTAAGGTGTGTGTCGTCAGCATACATCCTTGGCTCACAATTTGATAAACAATTTGGAAGATCGTTGATATATAATAAAAACAATAGTGGACCGAGGATGGTCCCCTGGGGGACGCCGCAAGTTAATGAGCAGCTACTGGACAGCGACCCGTCCACAGAACATTTCTGTGTGCGGTTTTCCAAGTATGACTGAAACCATTTGAAAGATTTGCCATGTATACCATAATAGTTTAATTTCGATAGGAGGATCTGATGATCAACAGTGTCAAAAGCTTTTTTCAAATCTAGAAAAATGACTCCATTGATTTTCCCGTTGTCAATATTATATGCCCAAGAATCTGTCGCTTCCAACAATGCTGTTACAGTTGAATGAGTAGCACGAAACCCTGATTGATTTTGATATAGAATATCATGTTCTTCTAGATAGGCATACAATTGATCGTAAACTATCCTTTCAAACACTTTCGCCACTATTGGAATCACCGATATTGGGCGGTAATTGTTGACATCATCGCGGTTACCCTGTTTAAAGAGAGGTGTAACCCTTGCATATTTCCAATCATCTGGGAACTTCCCTTGGCTAATAGATTGATTGAAAATATCACATATCGGCACACAAATAAGGTCAGCGCATTCCCTGACAAACCTAGCAGATATTGTGTCAAGGCCCGTTGCTTTTGACTTGTCTAGTTTATTTAAAAGTGAAAATACTTTATTTGGATTAGTAGGTTGGAGCTCAAACCGTTTATCTGTACCGGCAAGATATCGTTGATAGCTACTACTATCACAATCTATCTCACTGGCAAGTTTTGGACCAATATTAGCAAAATGGTTGTTGAATTCGTTTGATAGCTCCAGTGGATTAGTTATCGTTAATCCATTCACTTTTAGTGATGTCACTGACATTTTCCCAGATTTACGTGAAGTTAGCTCGTTTATAGTCTGCCAGGTCTTACGGGAGTCGCTAGTGTGCTTGTTAAAAATATTTTGGTAATAAACTTGCTTTGCTAAGCATACTTGCTTATTGACTAAATTTCTTTGTTTCTTAAATACTGCCCAATCGTTGGGATCATTTGTTTTGATTGCTTTGATTTTTAATATATCTCTATTATGCATCAAGTCTTTCAACTCAGCGGTAATCCACGGAGAACTTCGTGAACGAACGCGCATCGTTTTCAGTGGGGCATGTTTGTCAGCGATAGCTAGAAATGTACATTCCCATTGCTGCCACATCTCGTTTGGGTCGGAAGACTCATATACATTATTCCAATATTGAGACTGAATATCATCTCGAAAATTTTGGCAATCGAATTTTCGGAAATTTCTGTATGTTATTGAATTATGTCCATTCGACATCCCGTTCAGAGCAAGTTTTCTATAAACATACACCATGCTATGATCACTTATCCCAACATGATAAACTCCCGAACAGGCGATCTTATCCGAGCAGTTGGTGTAAATTAAATCAATCAAAGTTGACGAGGTGGGTGTTATCCTCGTCGGTTCAGCGATGAGTTGCTCGAGTCCGTAGACATCAGCAATATTCTTTAATTTGGATGTATCATTGTCATATCGTGCAGTGACCATGTCACAGTTCATGTCTCCCAGTACAAAAAATTCTACATTTTCACTATCCAATTTCCCAATTAGGGATTCAAAAGATGAAAAAATGCCAATAGGAGAGTCAGGTGGTCTATACCACGTAACAATCACAAAAGGTCTTGTTTTTGGCTTATGGATTTCCAAGCAAAGATTCTCTAATGCATCCATATGTAGATCAGATCGTACTGTAAAGTTGATTGAATTTTTAACGTAGAAGCATACCCCCCCGCCGCCTTTCGTAAGTCTATCGCGGCGAATTATTTCGTATCCCGGAATATGAACTTCGTGATCTTGAATGCTCTCGTTCAGTTTTGTTTCGTTTATAGAAATAATATCGATATCGTTGTTTGCTAATAGGATTCTTAGTTCGTCTATATGTGTAGTTAATTGATTTATATTGAGTGAGGCCATTCTAAAGCCACGCAAAGGTGGCAATATTGAGGCAGATTTTACGCCCCTTTGGCTGCTTGATCGACTTCGCACGGCATTGACGGATAGCACATTATCTCATTCTAGGTGCGATGTAAAATTATTATAAAACTGCACATTACTTTTAGAGTTTAAGTGCAGTCCAAGCTTATCTTTTCTGCATACAAGCTCCAACAGCGTGACTGTAGTATCGCAGGTGCTCTCGATCTGTCTCGCGAGGTCGACTATCGATTCGGCAACAGCCTTTGGTTCCCTGGTTTTAAGATCATTAGTCCCAATGTGTAAAATCACTTCGTTGGGTGAAAATTCCAGACTTGGCTTGAGATAGTGATTCATGGCCTTTGTCGTAGCACCCGAGAAAGGCTTGACTATAACCCTATGGCCCACTGCTTTTCCCAGGTCTCTTCCAGGTATTCTTGAGATCATCGAATCGCCTATGAGCAGGGTTGTGCGCTCTTTCGGTTGTTTTGGATCTGTTTTGGTCGGTTCGGATTCTTTTCCTTCTGGGGTGTTATTAAGACCTCCTTTGTTTTTCGATTTCTTTCTTTTCTTCTTTGATTTCACAATGGAGTCTTGAGGTTTGTTGGCACAAGGTGTTGGCTCGTCCAAGTTTGGGACAATAGTGCGTTCATTAGGGATGTTATTCGTTGGAAGGCATTGTGCAGCTGCTTCTCTAGATACGATTTGCAATGCAAAATTTAAAGAATCGCGTTCTTGGACTAACTTTTTATTTTCTTCCTTCAAAGAAAGAATTGTTTCCCGAAGTCGAGAATTTTCGGATCTCAGATCTTCCTCTTGAGGTTTCTCTTTTACATGAGCCCATAAGTTTAGAACTTCAGATTTTAAGAAGTCCAACTCCTGTTGTGCTGATTTGGCGCCGTTCTTGTTAAATGCCGGTGTATTGGCTTCTTCTTCTCTTACGAGAATAACCGAGTCGTCATCAACCGGTAGCTGAAGAAGCTTTTTCAGCTTAGCTTTTAACGTTTTCGCTTCAGGACCTTGGACTTGAAGGGTGCCGGTACTGTTAAATAAAACCAACATGATTGTCTTCGACTTCAAAGTACTTGACCTTTCAGAGGTACTCGCGGTTGTAGAAACTTCCAAATTCAAATCTTTGAAACAGAACTCTTGAAGTTGTGTAAGGCTCCCTTTCTATTTGAATAGACTTTGTTTGTCGTCCCAAAGTAGGTATTGGTTTGAGGAAAGTAAGGAAGATTCAATGCCAACAAATTCGACAGAACTCGCGGAGCCCTCGCAATCACGTCCGCGCGCCATCACGCCACCCACTCATCGCCTTCTTCTTGTACAGCGTGCAATCTTGCCTCAGCTCTGTTTTTTGCTAGTTGTTCCTGTTTTACCTCCTCATGGGCCATGCTTAGTGCCTCTTCATGGTCGTACCAGGTTGAGAGTGACATACTGAATGGCATGTTGAGCATTTCACACAGCTTGGCAATTCCCACTTTTCCAACTCCCATCTCAAATGCACCATACACTATTCATCGATTCAGACCTTTGCCTTAAATTGTCCTTGGAGTGGTATTTTTGAAGGGGTGATCATCAGTGGCAAGGAACTCTGTCATGCCATAGTCACTCTTGAAAAAACTTTGAAGTGCTCATCCCCATTCTGTTTACAGTGCTCTCTAATACTTCAGCTTTACCTACATTAGAAATTAAAGGAAACAATCTATTAATCCAGATAAATCAGTGGATCATTTATTTGGTTTCATATTTCCCGGCATAATAAATTACACTGTGAAAAAACTTCAACAGGCTCTCCTGCGGCACATGGTCCATGAGTATGTATTCTGTTTACAAACTTCCTGAGACTTTCCATTTATACCAGGCGATATTCTTGAGCAAATTTTAAGTCATCTGATACACTTTCGTCAGAAGAAGAGGTATCAACTGCATAAGCGCCAAATTTTCGCGAAGAAACCGGGATTGCTGGCGGTGGAATCATTTCGGTAACAACATCATCTTCGCCGACGAACGTGACATTTACAGTTTGCGCTGGTCACTCTTTTCGCTTGCTTTTGAACACCTTTGAACCCTTAAAGGGTTAACGCTTTAATGAAGCACCTTTCTTTAAAACAGAATGTTTCATATCAAACTTTGCCTATTGTTATGGTTGGGATTTTTTAATACAATTGGCCTTTTGTTATCCATCCTTAGGGACTTTTCTATTTAGTATCACGAGCTTTTACTCTGCTTGATTCGGATTCATTCGGCAAATTGTCGGCGATAACATTTTTCCCCAGCGGTAGTCTACTTGGGAAAATTTGAACAGACTAACAGGGGGCTAGTCAGTAATTGTCCAGGGTAACGATTGTCATACAGTGTTTGAAACGAGCGGACCGTTAATGTATTTTCTCTTGAAGTAACTTCCTCTGACTTCTTCAGAGGCAAGATAAGCCGTCAGTATAAAATAAATTGGAATTCAGCCGCTTGTGACATAATAGTTTGTTTTCAGTTCATGTTTTCACGGCAAGGGGCCGCGAGTAGCTTGGAGTGATTGAAAATGCGGTCTAGAGCTTATAAGCCAGGACAGGACGCAGTTAAGCTGTGTTCGCTCAATATTTGTTTTCCTTAAGGCCCGTTTACGCAGGCAGGCCTTAAGGACTGATCGCAGAAGTCTAAATTGTATTCTGCTGAAAATTTCTTCTCGCGTTGTCAATGTTCAACCATTAGCGCGATGAGTATAAAAGAGTATGCAAGCCAAGAAAACAAAAAGGTGTTATTTTCGCACCTTTTTACGTTTGACTGATTTCAATTTTTCCGCTTGAAGTGCGAAAGGCAAGGTAAAAGGACTTGAGCGGCAGATTGGCTGATGCAGTATGGAAGATGAGATAGGAATATAAACAGTAGCGTCAGGGGTGAGCAGTTTATGACGATTAGCGGTTTAAATTTATAGAGTTTCATTTTCGCTTGGTCAATGACGGGTGTTGCGTAGTTGGCCGGCAGCACACTCTGGCACATTTTTTTGTTGGGACTTTTGTTTGGAAGGCTCCATACAGCAAGCCAAAAGAAAAAGCGAACAAAATGCCAACCGATATTATTGCGTTGTCAATGAGGAACTCACTATCGACTTCAATGCCACAAATTCTGGTTATATTAAAAAAAATATCGATGTTGAGAGTGTGTAGAAAGGCGGGTTGGTTTTGGTTTTCTTAGACTATTGTCAGGCTCGCGTTTTTGTTTTTTGGTCTATTGAAGCAAATAAACCTCGCTGTTGAAGGCAAAACAATAGGTGCGATTTTCTCACCTTTTTCCGTTTCAGTGACTTTATTCTCCGGTTGGCCACAAGTTCTTAAACAAAAAATGTTCGTCACTGCATTAGGTGAGTGAAAAAAAAAATGGTGACTTGTTTGGACTTGCTTGTTTAAACCGTCGTTTTTTGTTCCTTTTTTTTTTCGAAACGACTCCCTTCCTTGCGCGCGCTCACGTTTCTCGTAGATTTTTTTTTTTTTTCCGCTCACGCGACGCCGTTCAAAAATAAACGGGGACGGGCCATTCACTAATTGAGGGTATTGTTCTGCAGTTCAAAAGGTCATAAATTTTATCAGTGGTACTTGCGTATAAAGGCCTCGTAAACGCAAGTCATAATCACTTTAGATTATCCCTTACTGAGAGAATAGCTAAGAACATGAGCAAGTTTTACGAAGTCTCGAAAGTGCTCGATAAGCGTACAGACTCCCACGGTCGCGTTCAGTACCTCGTCCGCTGGCGTGGCTATGGAAAGAAGAACGATAGCTGGGTGGATGAAGCCGACACAAACGAGCGCCTTAAACAAGTGTTTAGGACACGCCACCAAGGAACTCCAGGCTTGCTGCAGACCTTAGCTGTGTTAGTGGCAGAAAAGCTGAACATGAAGAAACCGCCAACAACCAGCATCGTGAGACGTTCGTCTGTCACCATGCCGATGGATGCCGAGACCTTTAAAGAGTTGTTCGGTGGTCTTCCTTCCGCGCCAAATCTTTTGCAAGCGACAAAGTTTTCTGTGCCCATTCACGAGCTTGACGCCATAATGCCTGCCGGATGGTCACTAAATACTTTCAAAACCTCCACGACTTGTCGGTTGCAGCCCGGCAAGCCCGTCGAGATTGCTCTCGTAGAGCGCAAGAAAGTGTTTTTTGATCATTCGGCATAATTTACCACGTTAAGAATGGAATTTATAAACTGTGAACTGATACACATGGATCAAATGTGTGGACTCAGCTAGAGTTTATTGTAACTCCTCGTAGCTGTGTATCCAGGCCTAAGAAATAAATTGAAAGAATTTGGAAGGAATTATGGGATTTTTGGGAACTCAGGAACGTGGAAGAGAATGTTCCCTTTCACATTTAAGCCTTGAAAATTCAGTTGTTTTGAACTGATTACCATGGCAACGGAAAAACAACCTTCAAAACAACACCGTTTTTTGACTTTTTAAAACAAACAACATTTTCAAAATCTAAATAGATTCAAGTAAATATTTTTCCAAAAAAAAAAATGGGGCGAAAAATGTTTCAATCTTACCAAATTTCGACCAGAGGGCCCCTCAAAGAGTACATACTTCCCGGCAGGTCAGCATCAATCAACATGCACATTAAACCTCCACCGGTATCAATCCAGCACTCGGACAAACTCAAACGGCCTCATTAATTTAATTGATGCCGACTTCTCTACAAAAGAAGTAAACGTGGCTAACTGTTTTTAAATTATGCAGATCTTTTAAGGAACGACATTTTCAAGAAAGTCGAATATATTTATTAGTTAAGAATAAGTTGCGGGCAATTTTTTAACTCAACACTGATCTGCACATGACTGCGCGTTGTATATTTGCATATCTGAACTTATTGACACTTTAATTTCAGAGATGTTGGCAATTAAAATTAACTCCAATTCTTAAATCGCGAAGATGCGTCTTGAAGGTATTATCTCCAACCTCTAATTACTTTTTAGGACTAAGTTTGTATTATTTTAAAAATTTTTTCGTTTTTGAATATCAGACTTTCATATTTGTTAGGCACATGGAAGTTGCCATAATTTTCGACGCTTTGCGAATCTTGACATTATACTAAACATAAACAAAGTGGCTGGAGATGAATTAGCTGACCAGTAATGCCTAATGGGTGTTTTTTTTCTATCCCGTCTCTCTGTGCGAATTTCAAGTATATTAGCTGTCACATTTAGCACAAAAATCTATAAACGTAGTGGACTATCCCCTTTGAAAATCCAGGTTGCTAGTGCTTAATCCCAAAACCAGACCATATTTTTCTCTGACCAGCAATAACCATCAATATATAGCTGTATGTCTGCGTCAGTAATGGCATCCAACCATTTCAAGGATAAATGAGTTAAGACAATTCTTTGGGCAATTGTTTGAAATTTTTTTTGAGACATGATTAGCTTACGCGAAAACAAGTAGACAGACATGGAGAACTTGCCCTAAAAACCAATTAAAAACTAAACTAAGGTCAGACTAAAAGAGTGCATGATTTTTCGCGATAGAAGTCATAAAAAAGCCTATCTCGAACCGTTTGTATTTCCTATACTCAGACCGTAATGATTCGATTTAGGGCCCGGGCCCTTATTTACTTTTGGTACCTCAGGGCGTTTAATCGAAACAGGGCGTTCATTTTTTTTTTTTTTGAGAAACAGCAGAAAACGGACTTGTAGTCCTTTGATCCTTCCTGGCTAGAACGGTCAGATAAGTAATTAATCGCCTTCAGACGAGATTATTCATTTGAGGAAACTGTGCATTCACGTGGACATTTAAGTTGCGAAACTGAGACGGGGCCTATGTTTTTGTAGTGAGACTTGGTAAGTAATTTTGAAAAGGAAAAATGAACCACGAGTTGAACTTAATGTAAATGTACTCTAACAGTGCTATCGCTGAAATAGAAAAGGGGCGCTTATTGGAACGAGAGCGCTAAATCGAATCTATGCGGGATACTTATAATCTTAATACTTATAGCCGAAATTATACGTCATTTCTCTCACTTTCTACTCCTCCCGGGGGGAGGGGGGTTGAGTTAGGTTTTAGGTTAAGAGAGGGGAGGGAATCAAGTGGACTTTATTGTGACTTGACCAAAATCCTCAGACCATCCTTGGTCATAAATAATGAAAGGTCCTTAATGGATTTGGCAATCAGTCAACCACGCTGAATCGAATGATAACGCTTCATAGCTCAACTTTTTTGTTCAGACATTTCCAACCTGAATAAACTTCTGTGTTGATAAAATTTTCGTTTGCCTCTTTAACTTGGAAAGCACCGAATACTGCAGTGACTTGAGTGATTGTTTGCTGGATAATGAGACCTGATGTTCAGATAGCGCATGTATGAGGATTTGTTCCCTATACTGCACGTAAGACTTCGACTCCACTATTGATCAATTTTAATTTAAATATTCTACACTCAACTTATTGCGCTCAACAATATAAACTGTCTGCACTGTTTAGGTTTATATCTTGGCGTTTTCTCATCCAATGAGCATACAGAAATTTCTGCAAACATATAATTAATTAATTCAGATATTAGCCGTTAGTGAAGTTCCGTGTTGATCATCATGGCGCCGAAAGAAATTTCTTGTGTTCTTTTCATCTGTCTCTTTGGTTTGGGAAGTGCTGAATACTGCACTGAGTCGAGCGATTGTGTGGTGGAAGGTGAAACCTGTTGTTCGGATAACGTCTGTAGAGCGATTTGTTCCTACTGTACGTACAACTTTGAATGTGGCAGTGGCGAACAGTGTTGCAATAACGAATGCAAATATTCATGTGGATTGAGCGCCGAGGCTATTACAGGTGTTATTGTCGGCACAACTTGTGCATTTTTCTTCGCCATCATCATCGCCATTGTATCCTGCTTCTACTGTGCTCGCTGCCCGTGCTACCGCCGCTATCGTACACCCGGTGTGTTGGTCGTCAGCCGACAGCCTTATCAACCGTTCGTCTCAACTCATACACACACGTCAATAACGCAGCAAGTACAAGCTCCTCCGCCGGTCAACTACAATCAGCCTCCTCCAGGTTTCAACCAGGCTCCTCCGCCTTACTCAACCCATCTTCCGCCATCAAACCAGAATCCTCCACCGCCAGGACAAACTCAAGCGGGGCCGATGCCTGCTGCAGTAACCGAGCAAACGAACAGGTTCTAAGTAAAGTAATATGTGAGATAACTTCTCCAAGCGGAACACTGTGCGATGGATGCCTGCTTTTGTCAGAGCTGACTAACCGGCCAAGTACTAACCCGTTTAACGAGATAACTAGCCTCATGTTATGAAACATTTGTGGATTTTTTCCAAAACTCGGTAATGTCAAAATACAACATGCATATTGTCGAGTTTGAATAAAAATACTTCAAATAATTATAATTATGGTTTCAGTCTAAACTTTTGTAATATTGTCAAAAACCTTGTGTCCAATCTGCAATTTTTTTACGGTAAATATAATTCACCACCGTTATCTAGGCATCTCTTTTTGTTATTCTGTGTAGTCCAAACTTAATAATTCTATAATCAATAATGGCTTCGTGTCTCACCAAGGACATTTCATGTCTCCACTCCGTAAAATGTTCACGGATTGCAGCTCATGCACGCAGGATTTTTCTTGCGTTTCTTGTTATCAAATAGCTTTGGAACTCGTAACGTTTTTGCTTAAAACAATTTTTGATTACATCATGATAATATATATGCAAGAATTTCACTCTTTTTTCCTGCTATTTTTAGTCGTGTTTACTTCGTGTAAAGGTTCACTGTCTCGGTCGCTGATTTCGTTTGTTGCCGGAGTCGTCAGGCTTTTCCCTCAATCTTAACCTTTAATTTGCCCCTAAACTGTCCGCCATTTGAGTTTCTTATACTTTCGCGAATCTTTCATCGAATCGAGATATCTGCTTTCAATTCAGAATTTTTTCGCTCAATATCAACTTTCTGTTTAAATTAAAATTACGTGCTCTAAGAGAATGAGCATGCTGAAGTTAAAATATGTGCATGCATATTATTAATTGGTTGAGATATTTCCGCCAGTAGAGTTCCGCGTTAATCATGGCGTCGAAAGAAATTTCTTGCGTCCTTTTCGTCTTTCTCTTTAGTTTGGGAAGTGCTACACACTGCAGTTACCCGAGCGATTGTGGGTGGAGTAAAACCTGTTGTTCAGACAACGTCTGTAGAGAGAGGTGTTACTATTGCACGCATAGTAATCAATGTGGTTCGGACGAAGTATGTTGTAACAACGAATGCACGTATTCGTGTGCTTGGGGCGCTGGGTCTATTGCAGGCGCTATTATCGGTACAATTATCTTCTTCGCCATCATCATTTCCATCGTAGCCTGCTTCTACTGTGCTTGTTGCCCGTACTACCGCTATCGTACACCCGGTGCTGTGGTCGTCACCCAACAGCCTTATCAACCCTTCGTCTCAACTCATACCCATATGGCGGTGACGCAGCAAGTACAGGCTCCTCCGCCGGTCAACTACAACCAGCCTCCTCCACCTTACCCAAGCTACCCTCCACCTTCAACTCAGCATCCCCCTCCTCAAGGACAAGCTCAAGCCGGTGCGATGCCTGCTGTTCTCAGTGCTGCCCAACCGGTGAAGTACTAACCCTTTGTAAGAGACAACCACGTGCGCCCGCTTTTTTATGAATGCTTTGAAACAAGAAACTTCATTCCTATAAAACCTCAGTTTCGTTGAAAAGCAAAACGAATATTGCTGATTAGTTTTAAGCTAAGTACTGTAACAATTAGTAGTAAAGTTTCTAGAATTTGGTCAGATTTTTCACTGAAATAGCTTTAAAAAATTTTGGCATACCGCAAATAATTTATGGTAATTATGGTTCAGCTCTATTATCTAAGCTCCTCATTTGTGTAATGTGCAAATTTGTATTGGCTTGTTGAATAATGGCACATTTTCCGACGCCTCCGCAACCGTGAAATGACGTTGGGTCACGGATGGTCATCACTGCTCGCCATCGCAGCACAACTCGTGGACATAGAATTGTCCTTGTTTCTTTCGTTTTTTTAGGCCTTGACTGCATTGAAGTCTTTCTGAAAATGAAACAAGTAATTCCATTTTCATTAGATATTTTTTAACTTTTCATGTGGTGGAAAACCAAAAGTTATTCTAAAAGAGCGTAAGGTGCCATTGTTTAAGGGTTTAATTTGTCACATAATCATATTTAGGGGCAGATGACCGTTTAGACTTTTAGCCCCCTACGAACAATCGCTTCTAGAATACTCAAAAAATATATGAAAACCGTATATATGAACTTCGTAATGGGCCTCGCTCATCATAAAGTCTCTGCTGCTCAATAGTAGAGCGCCGGAGCGCGGAATCCGAAGATCTGAGTTTCGATTCCTTATGGGGTTCAGAATTTTATCTTTGTGCCACGCTCGTGACAAGACGAAAAACATCTTTTTCCAGGATGATTCACCAAGCTCTAAGTCGCGAGCTCACTTCACCATAGCGATTATTTTTGAAATCTAGTGTCAATCTAATCTCTTAAATGCGGTTAAATTCATGTCATTGGAGTTTCATCAATCTATGATGTTTTTTTTCATTTAAGCAGTTCATTTCAGAATATCATATGTCATATTTCTTCTGATATTTTCTTGCACATTACCAAATGTTTCTCCATTTGTCAGAATTAGAGTGACGACTTCAAAAATTTTTAATAACATGACTTAAATAGTGACACTGAGAAACTACTTTGCGTTAGTTCACAGAAAGTTTAAGTCATCAATAGCTGTGTGGTCATTGGAAGTATACAGAAGGTGAAATACAAAGTGATTAAATAGCTTTGTAACACACTTCATTTTAAAACAATTTGTAATACTGAATATTTGATATCTTAAATAGCTGGTATATCTACAAATACTCAAGTTGACTTTCTGTACCTGGTAAGAGAAAGCATTCTTAGAATATTGTAGAAAAATAAGCATCTTGTGCAAAATAAAGGATAAGGGCTCGTGGTTTTAGATTCTTCTGTCATCAAATTTTTTCCTTGATTTAATTTCTTAAACCTTTTAGGGACGGGCCATCATTTTTCTGGAGAGGGGTTGTGAGAAATCTTGTTCGCAGAGTCGGAAAAGACAAAATAAATTATTAGCAAACGTGATAGGGTTAAAAAAAATGTTTAGCAGAGAAATCAGGTTAGATATTAAAATATATTATCACCAACACTGAAATGAAAAATAAAAGTAACAAATTGAAGCATTGGTATAAAAATTGACACAATTTGGGCACTAAAAAGTGATCACTCTATTTTAAGAGCTGAACATTTCTTGAAAAAATGGGAATTTATCGTGGCAATTAAAAAGTTTTTAAAAAAAATTGTTTGCACGAAGATGTTGGAAAAAAAATGTTTGCGGAGACGTATATGTTAAAAAAATAAATTTTGCGGAAGAATATCTCCCATGCTCCCATTCCAGAAAAATAATGGTCCGTCCGTTACTCCCAAGATTTCATTAGTAATTCTCCTTACTGCCTGTCAAAAGATTCTCATTGTGTTAGCTTGGAGATTTTGATATCGGATCAATTAGTAATCCCATAATTTATTGATATTTTTCTATATTCTCATCACTTGTCTGCATGATATTGCATAGATATAGTAAGGAGAAATTCTGTCTTGGTCACTCACAGGAGTTAAAGGGTGAATGCCAATACCATTCACTCCTCCAACCCCACACCTCTCCTCATTTTTGACCGTCGACCGGAAACCGTAAAATAAATGTCTTTTTCTCCCAGCCTTCCGTTGCCATTAAAATCAAAGATGGCAGCCATAATTTTCGTTAAGAAAATACTGAGCACTCGCTCGCCAAAATTATGCCTGCCCTTCAGGCTTGGGAAATGAAAGCTTCCGCTCTTCCCTGTCTTCTCAAAGAGAAATTTAGACCACAACAGAGAGAGCATTAGAAATCCCACCAAGGAAAAATTTGAAACATTTCAATCATCACAACCTGTTTTGAAAACATTCAGATAAATAAAGTATCCTGTGACCAAGATCTCGTTCTAAATTCTCTTAACCCAACATTTCTCAAATTAACATCGTGTACTAGTATTATAAAATATTATCCTGCATGTTTACTTTGGAGAGAGTCCCTAGAAATCTAGAGAAGGCTTTCACGCCTTTCTCCTATGATCTGCTTAGCATTGATTGCTAAATGAATTCTCTAATGGCTCACTTTCTCGACCGCCAATTTTTCTTTGATGCCGGAGTAGTCGGGCTTTTCCCTCAAAAAATTGTTTCGAGGCTTAAAACTCTCTGTCACGCAAAATCGAAAGTTTTCACCTATTCTCTACTAGATACCTGTCAATGCCAGTAACCATTACACGGAGGCCATCAGGGTCATAAGATCTCATAATCTTCCCCGTCTTTCTTACGAATTCAGTGTTGCATGTAACTTCTTACGAATTTCGGTTCAGAGCTTCGAAATACAAGCTCTTTTTTGAAGCCCAAGACTTCCAGACTATTAGCCAGTGGTTGGTGCATTGTTGGGTGTTTTTTTTCCTTTACATTATTCCTTCAACTATAAATTAGAACGTTGGGACGGAGGGTCTCATTTGGGGTAAACGTTAGCCAAGAGAATATTAACCGTTTCTTTTGCCGTTAGTCGTATAACGGTAGAATATTAGCCGTTACGTGTAAAAATTGATAGATTTCAGCCATGTGTCTCAAAGAAGGTTAACCGAAAAAGTTTTTTCTGTCAAAAAGAACATAAATAAATTTTAACCGTTAACCTTAAAAGCCATCGCCTCATTGGAACCCTTGTACTTGCCCCTTGCCTGTCCGCCATTTTGAGTTTCTTGTGCTTTCGCGACTCTCTCATCAGTCAATTTTCATTTTCAACTTTTTGCGCTCAAGATCAAATTAATGCACCGTGCAAAATTTAATTGACGTGTTCTAAGCCAATGAGCATTCTGAAATTAAAATTTGTGCATGCATGTTATTAATTGGTTGAGGTATTTCCGCCTGCAAAGTTACGCGTTGATTATGGCGTCGAAAGAATTTTCTTGCGTCATTTTCGTCTGTCTCTTAAGTTTGGGAAGTGCTAAATACTGCACTTACTCGAGCAGTTGCGGTTGGAGTGAAACCTGTTGTTCAGATAACGTCTGTAGAGACAATTGTTACTACTGCACGTACAACTATCAATGTGGTACAGGCGAAGAATGTTGTAACAACAAATGCAAATCTTCGTGTGTTTGGGGCGCTGGATCTATTGTAGGCGCTGTTATCAGTACAATAATCTTCTTCGCCATCATCATTTCCATTGCATCCTGCTGCTGCTGTGCTTGTTGCCCGTACTACCGCTATCGTACACCCGGTGCTGTGGTCGTCACCCCACAGCCTTATCAACCGTACGTATCAAATCATGGCTATATGACGACGATGCAGCAAGTACAAATTCCTCCGCCGGTCAACTACAATCAGCCACTTCCAGGTTACATCCAGCCTCCTTCGGGACACAATCAGCCTCCTCCACCTTACCCAGGCCACTTACCGCCTTTAACTCAGCATCCCCCCCCACAAGGAGAAACTCAATCCGGAGCGATGCCTGTTGCTGTCAGTGCTGCCCAACCGGTAAGGAACTAACCCATTGTACGAGACAACCACGTACGCCTGCTTTTTTATGAACTCTTTGAAACAAGAAACTTCATTCCTCTAAAACCTAAGTTTCGTTGAAAAGCAACGAGTATGTTGTTGATTAGTTTTAAGCTGAGCACTTTAATAGTAAGTAGTAAAGTTTTTAGACTTTTGTCAGAGTTTCCAAAACTTTTGACATACCGCAAATAATCTATGGTAAATATACTTCAGCTCTGTTATCTAAGCTTCTCATTTGTTCATTGTGCAAATTTATTTGGCTTGTTGAATTGATGGCGCATTTTCCGACGCCTCCACAACCGTGAAATGACGTTAGGTCACGGATGGTAATCACTGCTCGCCACTGCAGCACAACTCATGGACACAGGATTGTCCTTGTTTCTTTGGTTTTTAAGGCCTTGACTGCATTGCAGTCTTTCTGAAATTGAAAGCCGTAATTCCATTTTTATTGGATATTTTTAACTTTTCACGTGGTGGAAAACCATGAATTAATTTAAAAGAGCATGAGCAATTGTTCAAGGGCTTAATTTGTCACATAATTATATTCAGAAGCAGATGGCCGTTTAGACCTTTAGCCCTTACGAACAGTCGCTTCTAAACTACTCAGACAATATATGAAAACTGTACATATGAACTTCGTAATGGACCTCGCTCACTATAAAGTCTCTGTGGTTCAATAATAGAGCGTCGGAGTGCGGAATCCGAAGATCTGAGTTTTGATTTCTCATGGGGTTCAAAATTTTATCTTTGTGCCACGCTCGTGACAAGACGAAAAACATCTTTCTCCAGGATGATTCACCAAGCTCTAAGTCGCAAGCTCACTTCACCTTGGTAATTATCTTTAAAATCTAACGCCAATTTCACCTCTTTAATGCGATGAAATTCATGTTATTAGAGTTTTATTAACCTATGATGATTTTTTTCCTTTATGCAGTTCATTTCAGAATATCACGTGTCATATTTTTTCTAATGTTTTCTCGCACATTACCATTATGTTTCTCCATTTGTCAGAATTAGAGTGACAACTAAAAAAACTTTTGAGAACATGACTTAAATAGTGACACTGAGAAATTACTTTGCATAGGTTGACAGATAGTTTAAGTCATCAATAGCTGTGTGGTCATTGGAAGTATACCGATGGTGAAATACAGAGTGATTAAATAGCTTTGTAACACACTTAATTTTTTAAACAACTTGTAATACTAAATATTTGATATCTTAAATAGCTGGCATAGCTACAAATACTCAAGTTGACTTTTTTTACCTGGTGCGAGGAAGTATTGTTATAATCTTGTAGAAAAATAGGCATCCTATGCAAAATAAAGGATAAGGGCTCGTGGTTTTAGATTCCTCTGTCATCATATTTTTTCCTTGATGTATTCTCTTAACCCTTTTAGTCCCAAGATCTCATAATTAATTCTCCCCACTGTCTGCCAAACGATTCTCATTGTTTTAGCTTGGAGAATTTGGTATTGGTTCAATCGGTAATCCCATAATTGATATTTTTCTTTATTCTCATCACTTGTCTGCATGATATTGCATAGATATAGTAAGGAGAAATTCTGTCTTGGTCACTCACAGGAGGTAAAGGGTAAAGGCCAATACCATTCACTCCTTCACCCCCACACCTCTTCTCATTTTCGACCGTCGACCGCCCCCCTTGGTATAAATTTCTTTTTCTCCTCAGCCCTCCGCTGCCCATAAAATCAAAGATGGCGGCCATAATTTTCGTTAAGAAAATATTGTGAACTCGCTCGCCAAATTACGCCTGCTCTGTAGGCTTGGGAAATGAAAACTACTCTCTTTCCGGTCTTCTCGAAGAGAACTTAGACTACAGCATAGAGAGCATGAGAAATCCCACCAAGAAAAAAATTGGAATATTTCAATCACTATAACCTGTTTGTAAACATTCATATAAATAAAGTATCTTTTGAAAAAGATTTCGTTGTAAATTCTCCTACATCTTGACCCAACAATTCTCAAATGAACATAGTGTGCTAGTAATATAAAATATTATCCTGCATGATTACTTTGGAGAGAGTCCTCAGAAGTCAAGAGAAGGCTTCATTTACACCTTTCTCCCATGCTCTGCGTAGCGATCGTCTATCATCCCTAATGAACTCTTCTAACCGAAAGGGACTAGTATCTAGTTTCCCCTCACAGTAGTACAGCTGAATCATTCATGAAGATCATAAGAATAAGGGACATGAACCAACCTAAGAAGCTTTGAATGTTAAATGAATTTTCTTTGTCATCACCACAGGAAATGTATAGAAAACAGTATAGGGAATATGGATACTGATCTGAAGGTGTTAAGGGTTGATAACCAACTGATTTTTTTTCTTCAGCCATTCAAGGTAATAACCGTTTAACCAGTTTCAATCATTTTGTCCCTAAGGGTGACTAGCATCTAATTTCTCCTTAGAATGTCACCCCTAAGCCAAACATTAAGGTCATGAGAATAGAAGAAATGATCACCAACTGAAGAAGCTGTTGATTGTTCATTATTCAAATTCTCTTTGTCATCAGCTTAAGAAATGCACTGGCTCTACTGAATGCAAGCGCGATAGAATGCGTTCGCTCGTCTCTGCTGTCATTGCAAACATGGTAATGGAAGACGTGGAGCAAAGAGCCTTAGCCACTTCACCGGTTAAACCCTTTTTCTGGAGACGAAATGTCGATGATGTTACTTCTGCAGTATCCGGAAATGAAGCGGAACGCCTCCTATCGCACTTGAATTCAATAGAGCCGTCTTTCCAATTCACACTTGAGCGTAAAAAGGATAGACATTTGCCCTTGATTTAAATGTGCACAGAAGGGAACAGGGTAATTTAGAGACAAGTGTCTATCGTAAACCTACCCACACCGACAAATGCTCACCACCCTATTTGCCATAGAAAGTCTGTAGCCAAAATTTTACTCAGGAGGGCTGACTGTCTGCCATCTTCACTCCATTCGAAGGCTGAGGGAAGGAAATATGTTTCTAATGTACCAAAGGCGAGTGGCAGTACTAAAAATTTTCTCCGTAAATGCTGAAAACCATTTACAACATCACAACAAGTAGCACTCCTGATGAGAGGAAACCAGCGACTGGTTTTGCTGTTATTCCTTACATTCAGGGTGTTACGGAACCCATCAAGAGAATTTTGAATAGCCACAACGTTAAAGCTGCTCAAAAAGCTTTTCAGACTTTGGGGTATATTTTTGCCAAACCTATGGATCCTGTCACAAAAAAAAAATAACAACAACAACGAACCGACGCTATTGACTCTATTCCGTGCAGTGAATGTGGTAACGAGTACATCGGACAGACCAAACGTCAGTTTGGTACACGTTTGAAAGAGCATCAAAAAGCGGTCTTCTGATGAAGGTACTAGACAGGAGTGTCAAAACGTCTGGTTTGTGAACTGTAACTTCTCGGTTACATTCATTAAATCTGTAAACCAGAGTAGCATCAAACCATGTCTGAAATTTTAACCGTTAGTTGTAAAAGCCATCACCCCATGAGAATCCTTTTACTAGCCCCTAACCTGTCCACCACTTTGAGTTTCTTGTGCTTTCGCGACTCTCCCATCAATAAATTTTAATTTAAAATATTTGCATTCAATTTCAACTTTTTGCGCTCAATCTTAGCTTTCTACACTGAGCAGGTTTAATTGACATGTTCTAACCCAATGAGCATGCTGAAATTTAAATATGTACATGCATATTATTAACTGGTTGAGGTATTTGCTGTCTGTAAAGTTTTGCATTGATCATGGCGTCGAAAGAATTCTCTTGCGTCATTTTCGTCTGTCTCTTTAGTTTGGGAAGTACTACGTACTGTAGTGACTCGAGCGATTGTGTGTGGAGTGAAACCTGTTGTTCAGATAGCGTCTGTAGAGACAATTGTTACTACTGCACGTACAGCTATCAATGTGGTACAGGCGAAGAATGTTGTAACCACGAATGCACCTATTCATGTATTTCGTATGCTGGATCCATTGCAGGCGCTGTCATTGGTACAATAATTTTCTTCGCCATAATCATTTCCATTGCATCCTGCTGCTGCTGTGCTTGTTGCCCATACTACCGCTATCGTACAACCGGCACTGTGGTCGTCACCCCACAGCTTTATCAACCGTACGTATCAAATCATACCCATATGATAATGACGCAGCAAATACAAGCTCCTCCGCCGGTCAACTACAACCAGCCACTTCCAGGTTACCTACAGCCTCCTTCGGGACACAATCAGCCTCCTCCGCCTTACCCAAGCTACCCTCCGCCTTCAACTCAGCATCCCCCTCCTCAAGGATAAGCTCAAGCAGGTGCGATGCCTCCCGCTGTCGGCGCTGCTCAGCCGGTGAAACACTAACCGATTGTACGAGACAACCAAGTACGCCTGCTTTTTTTATGAACGAAACAAGACACTTAATTCCTCTAAAAACCTCGGTTTCACTGAAGAGCAACACGCCTGTTGTTGATTAGTACTAAGTTAAGCACTTCGATAATAAGTAGTAGAGTTTTTAGACTTTTGTCAGATTTTTCAAAACTTGTGGCATACCGCAAATGATTTATGGTGAATATGGTTCAGCCCTGTTATCTAAGCTTCCTATTTGTGTATTATGCAAATGTATATTGGCGTGTTGAATTAATGACGCATTTTCCACAACCGTGAAATGACGTTGGATCACGGCTGGTAATCACTGCTCGCCACTGCAGCACATCTCGTGGACACAGGACTGTCCTCGTTTCTTTGGCTTTTTTTAGGCCTTGACTGCATTGCAGTCTTTATGAAATTGAAAGCTGTAATTCCATTTTTATTGAATATTTTTTAAACTTTTCATGCGGTGGAAAACCAAGAGTTAATTTAAAAGAGCATAAGATACAACAGTACATAAAATATGGATACTGATGTGAGGGTGAAAGGATCAGTAACCAACTGATTTTCCTTCAGCCATTCATTAAAGCTAAAATGAAACTGAATTGTATTTATTTTGTACAGGTCTTAAAAATTGATGCGGTATACTCACAACACTCAACATAAGGTAGACCCTGGTGCAAAGATACAATGTATGGCCTAGCTTTTCTTAGAATATAATCATTATTCATAACAGGCTTCATCAATAACTTATCTATAACAAATAATTCAACAAGGCAGCTTGTAGATTGCTGTCAGAGATGTAACGCAAGTCTGTTAAGTAGTTACATACAACACACTAATATTTCCTAATTAGAAAAAAACAAAACAAAACAAAAAACATGCAAAAAGATTTCATTAGAATTCTCTTGAATCGAGTCTACGAGCCGTCCCTCCTTTTTGGCAAATTCAGTCACGCAGGTTTAAAAAAAAAAAGTGAAAACAAAAAATTAATGTATGTACACAAAGTGGAAATCCTCCTGAGTTCTGACTAGTGTACTAATATCAATTTTATTTTTCACTGTTTTCTCTGACTCAGACGACAGATTTTTGCCAACAAGAAAGAACCGCTCATGGTCTATCTTAAGACCAGTTTTTAACATGCTGTAAGGATGTGTTGTTGTGTCAAACAATGTTTACCAATCAGGTTGTACTTTGTGTACAATGTATCACACCTGCAGTGCACTCTTATCCAATATTTCTCTTAACATTGCTAAACTGACCACCACAAACAGCATAGCATTTGTTTACCCATATTATCACTCATTAAAAACCAAGCTCTCACTAATGTACAATACTCAAAATCTTGACAAGCCATGAAAAAATATGTCCCCTCTTCTTGAGTCATCATTTAGAATTGAAGAGGCTTCATGTACCTTAGGCCACTCCTGCCACCAGTGAATCATCCTCATTTGATCTTTTGATTTATAATAGTAATTGAACTGAGTGGAGTGCAATTTGGGCTGAAATCATACGCGTGATTTCAAAATTGAACGAGCGCGCAGCGCGAGTTCAATTTGAAATCACAAGTATAATTTCAGACCAAAATTGCACTACACGAGGTTCAATTACCACTTTATTACATCCATTTTGAAATCGCCCAAATACAGGACTTGGTCAGTTCAAATATTTATTACTACAATACTGAGCCAGTTTGGAATTAAAGTCATCCATTTTTTGGGAGGAAAAAATAAGAGTTTTGGAAACAAAAGTTGCAAAATTTGCTGCATGATCCTTCATGTCTTTCATCTTCCTGCAATTTGATCGGTTACTTTAAACAAGCCTTGAAGTCTGATTGGTTGTTTTGTTTTTAGTGTAGCCTCCTCTTCAACTGGAAAAAAGATGTGATTTAAAGCAAAAAATGGTGCAATTCGTGAATAAATCGCACCAATTAGAGCCAATCAGATTACAGGGACCACCAGTGATTTCAAAATGGGTGTAATAAAAAGGAGAACCATGATACCACTGAAGTGAAGTTAATAATTAGGTTGTCTTAGCTATTTTCATTGATAATATATATTTTAAAGCATTTAGCTAAATGAAAAAACAATGTCCAGAAGGAGACTTCACTTAGTATCCTTAATGACTAAAACAGTCCGTGCACAGCCATTCAATACACTTGTATGATAATGGTATGCAAAGACAATCCAAGAAGTCTGTGAAGCAAGATCTGATTATTAAATCTTAAACTAAGCACCAGGCAGGCAAGTGCAGCTGTACCATCTTCCATTTCCATGTATCCATTTACAACTATGCCATCTTAAAGTTACCCAATACTTAATTGGTTCGCCACATGTTCATAGGCCAGAGGAGAATGACTTCCTTCCATACGATCACCACATACAAGCACACAATGTCTGCTGGATGGCAAAGTGATTTGCCTCCCTTTAAAAAAAAATCAGCACATTTCAATTTATTTACATTCATGGTGGACTAGTTGATACAGGAAAAAGCCCCAGTTTATCTGGAGTACACCATTGCATGTTGAGATCCCCTACTGGTGACATATTCACCACAACTTGTCCCAGTGTAACCAGGTATTATAGCGGCTTGGTTGCCCACTACATATCTGCTGCCAACATAATGACTGGAGCTTCCTTCAATAGTGGATGCATTAGGAACAGCACTGACTATTGGCAGACCACTTGGAATTCCCCCCAAGGCATAGGGTGTGGCACCTAAAATGCCTCCTGCCAAATGAAAAATAAAAAAAAAAACAGTCATAAGTTTGATTTACCCAAAGATAGTTAACTCAAGTTTAGCAAGAAGCTGGGTCAGGGTGCAGTGTGTGAATCTTTGCTTTCACATATGCAATACAACTATTAGTGGCTTCCAGCAAACTTTCAAGAACACTGTAAGAATTACCTATGATGGCCAGCCACACCATCCAGCCAAGTTCTAGCTTGGTCAAGTTCCTCTCTGTTATTTTCCTAATTTTTTTTAGTAGTTAGGGGCAGGAGGGGGGGGGAGGGGGTATGGGTAGGTACATACATAGTTATACCATCCTTTCTGCCAAGCTGTCTGGCTAATTGTTATGTACTTAGTTAAGATACTTCACTCAGGTATGTTTTTTGACAATTTTTTAAGTCAGCTCCTACTCTTAACCTGTTTATGGGTTAGACACAACTGGAGTCCACTGATTGTAACAACATTTCACTTTCATTACCTCCACTATAAGCTCCCACTGCATTGACCACAAGTCCATTACCCATAATGCCTGCACCACAACCAGCGTCCAAGCCATTCTCAGCACCAACATTTGCACCAGTTCCTGCAGAGCTGACCATATTCCAGTACAGCTCTGTTGGGGAGACAGTGTTGCACCCTGCAGGAATAGGAGTCTGGGTGCCAGTGTAGCGGAAGTAAGGGTTTTTCAGGTCTAGTGTGTTTGTGGACCTGACCTTTGTCCCATCCAGTGAAAGCTCGATTTCTACATCATAGCTCTGTCTATGAAATAAGAGTGAATATCAGCATGGTGGTGGTCCTTAAGGAAAACAAGATCATCCTCCACAGGAGGCAGTAGTCATAAAAAGAGACTAAATGGTTCAATGTACTAGTAAATAATAATAATAATAATAATAATAATAATAATAATAATAATAATAATAATAAGGAAGTAAAAAATAAAATGCTTTGACAAGAGGCAAATTTAAAATGAGTGGTAGATTCCAGGATTTCTGGTGTTAACCATTGAATGAGAGAAATATAATTGCATCATCCTTAACACAAGCAACTAGTTTTGAGTTTAAATTCCATCTCTGACAAAGTTAAAGTTATTTAATTCTTCTTATTCAGCCTGAGATACTAGCTTATCAAGACATGAGTTCTCTGACGCTCAGTTTACTGAGCATCCAATTACAAAGTTGGAACTGACTGTCACTGTGGAATGAGTTCTTGTGGAAATTCCTGCAACTCTTTACAGGCTTTTGTTAGCAATTACCTCCTGTTGGAGACGAGAAGAACTACCCCAGATAATGCCTGTCCAACTTTTGCAAATATTGGGGTGCGGAGAAGACATCGAACCTGCAAAGTTCAAAAGTCAAGAGAATTACCAACAAGAAAAATAAAAATATTCTACCATAAAATCAAACCACAATTAAGCAAAGCCTAGAACTAATAAAAAAAAATCCTTCTATATATGTTAAGACTCAAAAGTGTCTAGTCTCCCCTCTTTCAACCCCATAAGTTCTTGGTTAAATTATATTAGGGTTAGCATTAGGTTTAGGTTCAGGCTTGAGTTATCAAGTTTTTAAAATTTTTTAAAAGTCACAGTCAGGTGTTTTAGAACTTGCAATACTGAGGGATTATATAAGGGACCCAGTTTCTGGGTTGTAACGTTTAACAAGCACTAAATATGTCAATGATCTTTCTAAATTTCTGGTTTCTCTTTAATTTTGTAGTTCTAAAATATAAGTCAAAACACTTAAAACAATAAAAATGGATCTTGGGAATCACATGAAGTGCCTGAAATTCTGTGAAAGCTACAGTTTTGTTTTTAAACATTTCTTTGCATTTTGAGTGTTGGGTGTCTTCAATGACAGTTTGTCCCCAAGGCAAGAACAAGAGTTAGCCTTCATTAATTTGTGATTGTTTCTCTCTCATAATTGGTGCAGTGTACTTGTGGATAGCTGAGGATTTATGGAGGGTAATTAACTTCATATATATACCTGGTACCAATGAGTGAGTGGCTCTTGTGGTGCTGTAGAGAGCCATACTGGAACACTGTGATGTAAGTAATCAACAAAAATAATTACTGTGTTATGTGTATACTGCAATCTTAACAAAAGGAATTAAAATCAATAGTGGTCTGCATTGAGCTAAAGAAAAAAATTCATTTGTTTGAATCTCACACTGTTATGTACTACAACCCTTTTGAAAATTCCAATTTAAATTTTCAGCCATGTACATGTACATTGTCAATCTTTGTTCTGTTGTTAAGTTTTATATCAAGCTGTAAGATTTTTATTCTTGAATTGTCTTGATCTAAAGTCAAAATGACCATTTGCATTCATCCTTCGCCTCTTCCTCCCTTGGGTAGGGGTGTTTCGTCATGATATGTCAGCTAAGCCCTTTAGAGAAATGATCATCCATCACTGTCAGCTGAAATGTTATTTCTGGTGACCATTATCTAATTTTCAGTTCCTGACGATCCATAAATTAAACACGTCTGGAGGGGAAGAATGACTAAAAACCCTTCATTGACACGAACAAGTCATGTACACCAGCCCTGTGCATGTCAGGGGATCTAAGTGCAAGCATATTGGAAGACCTCTTTCATATCCTCAAATACGGTAAGTCTGTATACATTATGAACACAGCTTTAGGTAGCACTTACTTGCTTCCTTGAAATGAAACATCAAACCAGAAAGCGAGGCCATGAACTGTTCCTGAAGTGTGCAATGTGAAATGTAGGGGAATTTCTATTCTGCAAAATGAAAAATATCATACTTCTCAGAACTAAAATAATTATAATTATACCTTGCAAGTCTGTGGCAATACCCAAGCACCTCTATGAAGTGCATAACCCAAATTCAACCAATATAAATCACACAGAGATGTTGGTCTTTGAATTGGAAATTTGCCTGTAACAGAGATGTTATACCTATGTTGTGCTGTATGAATTGTTACAGGACATGCAACATCTTAGATTGATACAAGGGATCAATATCAGTATCTGGGCAACTGCCCACCTACCCCTCCCCTAACCCAACATTAACCCTAACTTGTCATCAATTGACTGTTGTTGGGTTAGGGGAGGGGTAGGTGGGCAGTTACCCAGATACTGATATTGATCCGATACAAGCAACTTTCAAAGAATTTCCCACAACTGCATGTCAAATCTTATCAACTGAGAATAACGCTTACAAACTAAGATGTTAATTTTAGCTACTACAATTTTTAGATTGTGATCTTGTTATCTTTGACTACCTGTGCAAATCTTCTTCAGCGGCACTAAGAAAATTTACAGTGTGTGTCACAGGTTTGGCCATCAAAATGCGTACATCAAACGTATCCTGTTACAAAGGAAAGAATCTTATTCAAGGTTAATCATTACAAATAAATAAACAAAATGCACATTTAAGAGATATTCTGGGTGAAAAAAATGCACTTTAAAATTCTTAAGGGCTATTCTCAATTGCAGAATCCAGTGACTCAGATCAACACTTAAATCCAGAGCTTGCAAGCTTAAATAATCTAGCATGATTAAAATCAAGCTACCATTCTCCTAAAATGATGTAGTAACATGTTTGACAGAACTCAGGGTCAATGCTAAGCAATGGATACCTCCAAAATTTGCCTGATGAAAAAGATTTGATTTTCAGGTTGATTTTTGTTCAATATTGTACTCAATCTTTGAGCATCTCACTTGAAATATCAGCCAGCAGCCTCATTTCAAAGCTACAATCCTGCAGAGCCATTACCAATTCAGAACTTGAGAGAAATATCTGACATGTTATAAAAAAGGCTGAAATTGTGACAACCTATTCAGCATCAGACCTAAGTGACACAAGGCAGATGATCGTTAAGGTGCCCTGATTCAGTCTTGCATGGTACTGTGGGCTCTGAGAAAACTGTCTCCTCACAAGCGATCCTGAGCCATGCATTGAAGGAGCTACTTCATGGTATTATAATCAACTCTGTCCAGTATAACACCTTTGAGCTACATATGATTTGCAGAACTGATAAATGTTTCCATTCAGTTTGAGATAAGGATATTGCCGAGCCACTTTTTTTAAAGTTTATTCAGACACAAATTGCTTTAATCTGAGACAGTTCTGATTAAAAAAGTCTCGTTCTGGCTTCCTTGTGGTACACTTAAGATCATCTTCAGTCTTAATCTATTCTCATGATATGATAAAAGTAACTTTGGCTTTATATTGTTCTTTGACTGGTAGAACAACATCACAAATAAGTACCTCCAATTTCCATGCTCAACCACATGAAAATAATGCCAGTCCAGATCATTTGGAAATGGAAGTTTCAAATTTAGTCATGAGTTAACATATCTAGAATTGGACATCTTTTAATTGAAAGACTCTTTCAAGGATCTTCAACTAAAGTAAACAAAAAACAATCAAAAGCAGGAAAGCTCACCACAATTGGTTGCCTGAAGTATTCTTCGATTGCAGATTCTCTCAAATTAGACAAATCAACTCCATAGAATGAATTCTGATACCTACATACATGAACAACAATGCTCACTAAGCAATAATTATTACAAGAGGCTAAATAAGCTACCAATAACAATTATATTACAATAATCAAAGATAATATCACTCAGCATCCCAGAAAAGCTGTAAAACAACATCAGAAGCACAATGGGCTGTAAAACTTTAGGCACTGTCACCCCTCTCCAAATGTTCACTATACATGTACAAGTTTTACCCTTTACAACCTAACATCAGTATGCATATTCTCAATAATGTTCTCTATACATCCTTTATGATGCTGACAAGGAGAATTTGTTTAACAATCTAGAGCTTTGTTAGTTGCAGATCATTCCTTTATTCTCATGAAATAAATGTTTGATTCAGGGGTGATATTGTAAGGAGATTTTTGATGCTGGTCACATAACACTACTGGAAACACTACTGGGGAGGTTTAGAATAGCTTCCATTTAAAAAAAACAAAAACAAAAAAAGCTTTTGGGCACAAAATTTCCAATTTATTCTTGTTGTTAAAATTAAAGTTGTTCAACTGACACAAATTTGTGAGAGAAAAAAAAAAAAAAAAAAAAAAAAAAAAAAAAAAAAACCAACAGAAGGGATGTCTTCAGGACAGTACAACCATTCGACACAATTGTCATGCCACAAACAAAATCTTTAACAAAGGAAATATTGCAAAGTTGTCACTAAAAATAATTTTGAAACATCAGTAAACAAACAATGCTCACCAAAAGTTTGCTTTGGAGAAGTGTTCCATATAAAGTGCATCATCATAAAATGGAGCCACATGCAGATCACCAGTTGTTGGAAACATTTTACCTTCACAAAAAAAAAAAATCAAGAGATGAAACAATCTTATTCTATTTTTTAATTTGTTTGTTTGTTTGTTTCATTTTATTTTGTTTTTCTTAAAATCCTGCAGCCAATGACCAGATACCAGCAGGTCTGTTCATACACCTTTCATCCATTTATCCCCAGGCTTGATCATGCAGCCTGACTACAAGAAAAAAAAGAGTTGCCAGAGAGTCAGAATGCTTACCATCAGGTTTAAGCCATTTCTTAGCATGAAGATAACTCTCCAACATTCTTTCATTGTAAAGCATATAACCCATTGGTTCTGATATGATAACATCTACCATCTCAGGAATCTCTACCTGCAAAAAAAGAAAAAAAAAAAAAAAAAAAAGGAAATTGAAAATTCCAAATTGTTAATTCTTTAGTCAATTGTTTTCTCCAGAGTCTGATTCATTTTTGGCAGCAATCCAGGAGTGCATTGATTTTATCTAACTTTGCTAGGGGAAATTTTAATCTTGAGCTTAACTGGAACTTACCTCTTCAACTTTTCCAGGAATCACAATCACTTTGTCTGAAAGATTATTGTGTTTGACCAAAGCCTATGAACAAGATTTGTAAAAAAATAGTTTACTCTCATGAAAGAGTTCACAGAGTAACTACATGTAACCAATTCAACTGGCAATCAACATTTCTCTCAACTCTAACGACAACAACCTCAACCAAGGTTACAGCTTCAAAAAAGAATAACCACTAGCACTGGCAACATTGATTTTTAGCAGTACAACGGGCACCTAAACTGTATGTTGTCAATAGTGATTAAAGTTACTAACTGAGAGTAGTTAACCAGTAAAATTAATTTCTAACAAACTAAATATTCCTTAGTATGACAAAAAACTAACAAACAATCAAAAGGACTCACTGTACTAGCAAATAAATTTAAAACAGCAACATGTCTGATAGCCAGACACTGTACACACCTCTGCATGTGAGGCCATCGAGCTGGCTTCTATAGCATAAACTTTTTTGGCTCCTGCCTGCACAGCAAAGAATGAAAGGATTCCTGTGGATAAAGAAAGAAAGTGGACTAAGCTGAGGTGGCTTCAGGAATCAGTCTTGAAAAACAGACAGGACTTGCTTTTCTTGAGACTAAAAGTTCCATCCACCACAATAATGTTAATACTCATACTTCATAGACTGGCATATTATACCTGATCCAGCCCCAACATCGATCACCACCTGCAAACAGAAAGAGAGGCAGGAGAGATTATGAAAAAGAATTTGACAGAATTAGGAAAAATTCACAGAAACGAAAGAGTCTTATACCCCATTCACACCATCAAAACATGTCTAATTAAACAAAGTTTAATGAAACCATGTTTAGTTAAACATGGTTAACTGATCAACCCATTCACACTGAACAACAAGAGCTGACAACAATGCAGCCTCATGTTTGTGCTCAGCCTTACGTTCGTGTAATTGTAATTGATGTAAAATGTTACAACATCATACAGCCACAACATGTAAAATGTAAACAAAATGGCAGATGAGCAAACTATTGTGCTTTTATATTGGAAAACACAGACAGAAGAAAGCCAAAAAATGCAGAAAATTGTGCAAAGTAACAGGAGGGTTTCTTTGTGCTCCCAAACTCTTCCACACATTTTGGTTTCTGCCGCCATTTTGAATGTGTATTATTAAACATGATTGTTAAACTACACTGTGAGGTAGTTTTATTAAGCATGGTTTTAGATGTGTTTTGTTAAATGTGGCCGCAGTGTGAATGGCCTGTCTTATCAAATCTGTTTATCAAAACAAATTTTAAACATGTTTAAGCTTTGGTGTGAACGGGGTATTAGATCAACTAGTACCTAACTTAAATATTAAAAACCAATCAACCATTGGAGGCACTGTGGCCTAATTTTAAGTGCACCGGACTCCAAGACCAGAGGTTTGGTGCAAGACCTGGCCAAGTCAATGTGTTATGTTCATGGGAAAAACACTTTACTCTCACAGTGCCTATTTTCACCCAAGAGTATGAATGGATACAGTTGAACCTCGATTATCCAGACCTTGATTATTCCAATTTCTTGATTAACTGGACTTTTCCTCTGGTCCCAATTTCATTAAAAATATTTATTAGTCATGACCAAGATCCATAGCCATAATCTTTTTAAAACTACAATGCTGAAAAGTGAAGTAAAGGTAAGTTTGTTTCACTTTGAAAAGGCAAAAGCAGCTCTTACATGCATCATAACTGATGAAGGACAATCAAGTGAGGTCTGATTGGCTTACATTCATATTCTCAATTATCTGGACCCTTGATTATTTGGATTATTTTGTCTAGTCCCAACAAGTCTGGATAATCAAGATTTGACTGTACCACTGATTTCTTAAGTAAGCCTGATGACATGCTGGGGAAGGGTAACCTTGCATGAACCAGCATCCCATCCAGAGGGAAGTGGTAATACACCAAGTCACTTCATGTTATGGAAACTGAGATACATGTAAGCTCCAACTAAATCGGCCCTTTGGCTGGGGTACATTCAGACTTCCTTTGATTTACCAAACAACTGTTTCCCAGTAAGTAAATAGACTTCATGGCTAGACTTCAAAAATACCACCCAATTACCTTATCCTGAAAGTCAGTGTGATTCTGCAACATTGCTCTTTGATATGTGGAGGTTCTCACATAATCCTGTTTGATTGAGAGAGAGGTTTAAAATATGAAGAACTAATATGTTAACCCATTTACAACCTTACACACAAAGACATGCCAAAATCATCTGAAAATTTCCTAGTTTGTAAATACTTGCAATGCTCCATTGCACTGAGAAAAGAGTGAACGTGTCCTCAATGCAGTTCAGGGTATAAAAGACTGGATTACAGAAACAGCAAGGGGAGCTCTAGAATCAATAGCAAACTTATCTGAAATTAGAACTCAACTCAATGGAACACAGTACATGACTGACACCTTATATTAGATGCACAACAACAAGACAGCATCCAATACCTTGAAAACAATCAAGGTTTTGCAATAAGCTTCAAACAAATTTGAAATCCATATCATCACAATAAAATACTCTCACTCCCTACAAGAGCGAGTAAAACCCTTTAACTCCCAAGATCTGGTTTTAAATTCTTCCCTCTAACCTTCACACATTTCTATGTAAATTAGCCACAAGAATTTGGTATGAGATCAAGTAACAACTTTAACCTGATAAGTTTGAGTATTCTCATTACCCGTTTGCGGGATAATGTATAGATATTGTAGGGAGGCTTAATACATATCAATCACTTCTGGGAGTTAAAGGGTTAAAGACCCCTCAAACAATTAAAGGCTAATATACTTCTAATGCATATTACAATTACATAGATCAATATTTTAATATCAACCTGTATTGCTGATTACTTTTCCACCTGCTATTTTGCACTGAAAGAATTTGCCTATATTCAACTGTGCAAATTACACTTAATACTTTTTGCATTTTTTTAATAAAAATTTCTTTGACATTTTTTATTTAATTCAATTTAACATTTGAATATTTACTTGTTTGTTTACATCATTGTTTTGGCTGAGAGACAAAAAACAGTGCCATTATTTACTTGACAATATTTATCTTAGAATGTTTTTGTGTCCTCGTAATCTTTAAAATTAATGTTCACTATTTGCAGTTATTTCTGCCTTTGTCAAACAAATTTGAAAAACACCAGCTTCCATTTACCTGCATCATGTTTTGTTGCTGTGATAAATATCCATAAAACTGCGAAAAAAAAAATTAAAGATAAAAAAATGCATGAAATTAAAAACAGCCACTTACAATGTATATAAATGAGAAAAATAAAATATTTATAACAGATGTAATTCAAATCAGATAATATATTTTTAAGCATGCTGCTGTGGATTTTGCTACTGTATAATGAAAAATAATGTTTAAGAAAGATCTTTATTTTACCACAAGCACAACACAAAGAAAAAATGTGAGTAACTCATGAGTCATGAGGAACCCCCGCCCAGACTTTGGACTTCAGATCCTAATGCTTTTTCACTAAGCTACAGAAAACTTTATAATGAGAGAGGCCATCACAAAGTTTAACATTTTTCAATTAACACAAGTACTGCATATTTCTTTCATCAGACGGTGCCACATGAATAAATAGAAAAAATAGAGAAAACCTCCCGAGTTCTTCTAGGCTCTAGGCTCTAGGCCCTGGTATTCATCCCATTCTGCTTTTAAAAGTTGCCTGTACATCATTACATTGTAGCCTATTCTTTCAAACAATAAACTGCCAACAATAGAAAACAGAGGAACTACTTCATAGATACTACTGAGGCTGATGTCTCAAGGTTTTGCATGCATGTGCGATTTTTTGATGCACATGATTTTTTTTATCTGCAATTGCATGTGATTTTTGGCATGTTTAATTCTGTTTTTCAGTTAACGTAAACGCAAGCGTTACTGTAAGGAACTTTCTTGCTATATCTCTTCTTAGAGTAATAGCATATTTTTTTGCTGTTTTATTTCTTTGAGTTCACTTATCAGAAAAAAAAAACCAAGTTGACCTCTATTTTTTCACAAGCTTGGAAAAAATGGGAAAGAAAATCAATACAGTTGCAGATAATGTTCTTTATTCTAATTACATCTAACTGCAGAGGAGAAGTGATGCCTAAATGTAGGTTGCAAAGATTCAAGCTGTCATCATCACATGATCTATACTTAACAATTGGTTCATACCTCAGCATGCGTTCATCGAGATATGAAGCACGCAGGAAGTTTGGAGAGCACAAAAGATGCATAAGAGTTGCTCAAGACGTAGCCAAGAGCAATTCTAGCTTCTTGTGTGCTCTCCAAACTTCCTAAGTGCTTCATATCTCGATGAACGCCCAGCTGATGTATGAAACAATTATTTTATAACATTTTCAACCTGATGGAAAATTTGTTTTTCTTGAGGGATTTGTTTGCTGACATCACAAGTGTGCACAATAGGAATATGAAGCATGCTCGCGCAATTGAATTTGATTACAAAAATTTATTAGCTATGTTATAATATGATCTAGTAGATATTTATGCTGTGATCATCTTCCTCACCTGAAAATACTGACTGGCTGATGCCTTTTCTGTCCTCTCATCAAACAGCGATCGCTTCTTCATTCTACCAGAAGCTGCATTCAACAATTCTTTAAAGTCATTGACATCTGAAAAAGAGCGATAAAAACAGATTAAAAACACAAAAAATGTAATGAAAAAATAGGATTTAGAGAATTAATCCTTTAACTCCCAGAAGTGATTAACATGTAACTTCTCCAAATAATATCCATACAATATTCAGTAAACAGGTAATGAGAATACTCAAACTTATCAGGTTAAGGTTATCTTGATCTAACACCAAATTCTCATAACTTGTTTACAAGAAATTGTGTAGCAGCTAGAAGGGAGAATCAAAACTCAGATCTCAGGATTTTAAGGGTTAATAAACTTGCCTGAATCAGTCCTACTTAGATCTAGCCATAACTTTTTGGGTTAACGCCATGAATTTGACCATTTCTGAATGATGAAAATTATTTTTCATATCCAGTAATTCTTAAGTTCTGATCATCACCCTCTCTTCTAGCCACAACAGAACCCTAAAAAATTGGTTCAGAGAATTTGTTTTTCTAAACATAAACACTCTGACACCAACTCTTCTCATCGCCAATTTACTAAAGGTTTTATTTTATCTACTCAAGAGAAGTACATGTACATGTAATAAGTTAACTATTGCTATGATAGAGAGGGTTGGGAAAAAGGATCAAGGAAGACAGCCATAGATTCCAACAAGCATCATGCAAATGCAACAGCTAACTGTGTTATTTTCATTTGTAAAGTCTCAAAAATTAAAATGAGGGCATAAATGGAAACAAGCTTAAATTTATTCTGTAAAAGCCTCAACCATTTAACCCTTTTGAGTGACTAGAATCTAATTCCTTCTCACAACATGACCTCTGAATCAAACTTTGAGGTCACAAGAATAAAGAAACTCTTGATTGTCAAACAAAGTCTCCTTGTCAGTGTCATACAAAATGTAAGGAGAACAATATGGAGAATATGCATACTGAGGTTGTAAATGTTTTATCATAAAGAGAAACTTTGTGGCAAGGGGGTAGTTATAATGGGTTTCAGCTGACCCTTATGAAACTAGCTACCTACATAAACAGTGGTTACTGAAATGTCATATAACCCTGTATTATCCAAAGAAGCAGGAAATACCACTGCAAGTAAAAATTATCCATTATGTTTGATATGTGCTGTGCAATTATAGGAAAACAAGCAGATAAGAAACCTGGATAGGACAATTGGCAAAAGTACTGATTATACCATTATCTTTACAATTTCAGTTAAACAAAACCAAAATAAAAGTGTATAAGAAGTGCTTTTTAAAACAACACAAGCTGGGTCCTAATGATAAGGTTGTGGACCATTTCATGATTATCTCTCCTGTCAAAAATGAAACTTGCACAATACAGCTGCACAAGAGCATGCACTATTTTCTCTTAAAATATCCACTCTCTTCCTTCTCACACCACTGAATGTTTATTTTACACAACTGCTTTTAGACGAATTACAGTCTGTTTTTTTCTCTGGATATGAATACAGTGTAAAGGTTTGATAACCGTGACATGAAAAAATTGGTATGAAAACAGACTGAGACGAGAGAGAAAGTTATTTTTAACACAGCATTTAACTTGTCATATAGTTGTGAAAAAATCGATTAACTAGACACGTTTTAATGAATAAGGCACCATCTTTCTAAAACCGCACAGCTGATGAACATCAGACTAATTTTAAACTACTCTGTAATTTAGCAATATGTTTCCACATTGTAATTAGAAAATATGGAACCTTGAAAGAGCTCCTTGTTTTACTTAAACCAATAATGTTATTTATCTTCCCACACCTTCCTCCGGCATTTTAAAAATATAATAAAAGAAAACGTTATTCCAAAGTCTTCTCGTAAATTATTTGCGCAGTTTGAGAGAGGATTAATTACTGGTAAGCAGGAAAAAGGAAATTTTTCCATCCTACCTGAATGAAAACCTTTCGTAATTAAATCAATGAGGTATGGGTAATTACATAGCCTAAAGCTACTCTATTCTTCCAAAGCACTTAGCTACAGTCAAAATGTTAAAAATACTTGCATCGTTGTCAAATATACACCATAAATCTAGCGGTATGTATTATGCATGAGCTCGCTACAGTAGCATGAGTTTATAACTATTCATTGTTCCCCATCAAAAAACCTTGAGATTCTTTCACTTTTACTCTAGTTCGACTGTAACGTGTATTTTATAGAAACAAAGGCTTACCTTCTCTATGCGAAAAACTCAGAAGAACACTAAAGTTCTGCTCGGGAAGATCTATAAGGTACCTCAGCCGACCCATTTGGCTGTGGTCTGTGTTTTTCGTCACTCTAAAACTTGGCATGTATTCATTGCCTGGGAAGAAAAACAATTTGAAAAAGCACGTTCTACAAAGCTCTAGGTTTAGTTGTTTAGTTGTTTCAAAATACACCAAAAAGTGTCGGTCAACTTACCACTTCTGACACGAATATCAAGTGAACCGCTACCAGGATCTCCGAAAACATCGACAACACAATCTCCCCCGTCTTGCGTCGAAAGTGAATAGTCTCCTTTGACAATTTGAATTCGACAGTTCCGAAAGGACTGCGACTTCACCGCTATTTTAGCGCTCATCGGGTAATCCATGGGAATTTGTCTGCGTAGATAGCACGTCAGGGTTACAAAACAAGATTACACGTGCATTTGTAACTGAAATTATATTTCTTCATCGCAAAATTGCGGTTTCCCTAAGGAAAGAAAGAGCGTGGGCTCAGAATTTACAATTGGGTCCAGGCTCTTTTGTTTTTGCTCCTGTGGCTACGTAAGTGTCCACGTGACTATGGAAAGAGCAACGGAATCCGTGATGATACCCAAATAAACGTTTGTAACCCCTAAGCTTATTTAATGATTTTTACATAAAAAGGCCATTTTTCTAAAACAAAAAAACAAAAAACAAAAAAAAAACGATTTTTTTAGAGCGGATATTGAAATATTTATCGAGGCTAAGTGGTCTAAAATGTCTACCAATACAAAAAATTCACTATGGCCAATATAAAATATCACTTATAAACAAATGAGCAATTTCCGAGGAAAAAAAAAATGATATCTATTTTGAAAATATATACCAGCGGTCTTTCTGGCTCGTGCACTCTGACGCGTTTATTTGCAAGTTGTCTGGTCACAGTTTTGGATATTCTACAGAAACACATCACATTTTCTCTCCTTCTCAGGTCTCAAGTCAAGACATAATTCTAATTCTTTTGGCATTTTTCGGTTAATGTAATTTATCCTTAGACAGCCGTCTAAAGTTGATAAATTTCGTTGCAAATTTTTCTCAGACATAGAGTCTCACAAAGCTAAGGCAATCCAGGATTGCAAAGGATTGTCTTCGCTCTATGATCGATCTAGACAATTCGTGACATTTTCCTCACAAATCAGTTTCAAGAGGAGGCCCTGAAACACGACTTAGTCACTTACCTTTCCATGCGCCGCGCCTCGCGCACTTTCCATGACTTAATTTGAGCTCTCATTGGTTCTCATAAAATTTGCATGGCTTTAATTGGCTGTGATAATTACCCCGGTCCAATAACACTCAACTTAAAAGCTTATTTGTTTTTATTCTCGTTCCCCACGCAACCAAACGGTGCCATGTTGCTTCGAGAAAAAATGCGACATGACGTGTATTTTATTGCCTCGAGACATAGCGACTCCAAAATTGTGAGCTAAACCGGTTCATCATTTTACGTCAATCAACGAATGCCCTTTTTTCGTGCTCTCCTTCCTCACCGTGCCGAGCCGTTGAGTTTGCGCTGATGAAAAAATTTGAAGGAAATGAAAAGGATCAGAGGTGTCGAGAGGGTAAATCATTTGTGCTGCTGGGGCTAACATCGATATCATGGCTTATGAATAGATTTTCTCTCCAAATCACATCATTTTGTGCCTTGAGTTCCGTTGCGAAAGGCAGAAATAGAAAGCTAGCGATGAAAAACCTTTCTTCTTCAATGAAGGTTTTTTTTTTCATTCGCTGAAGTATTTGAAAATTGTGGGAATATATAAGCTATCTCACAGTATAGAATTGATTAGTCAAAAGCCTTCAGTTTAAATGGTAAACCCATTAGAAATTAAAGTTTGTAAAACGGAAATAATATTTTAAAATCAATTTGGCACCCGTCTGTTCTCCCGCTGGTTGTTACACCAGTAAACCAATAGGAAATGCTGTCTATTGCTTAAATATTCCAAGAAAGTTTTAAGACTTGAAAAACTACCCTCATTTCGGAGAAAACCACAAAACATAAATTCCGGAATATTTTAAGATCCCAAAAAGGTAATAATAGAACAGAAAACAGCCAAGGAAAGAGAGGTTTAACATGGATTACAAGAGAAGAACGTGAGGAAGTAGAGCTAAATTTTACACGATTTCCAACCCCGAACAAAGCAAAACCAAACCCTGCGGATGTGAAAGAACTGCAAAACTGTCGACTAATTTACTAAACGTGCACGCAAGAAATTAAAAACTACGTCATTAAAAGAATACATGAAAGGCCTTTTTTTAAAACAGTTTTTAGTGGCACCAGTACCAGGTAAACCCTACTGAAACTTATAACCTCTACAAATTATGTACACCGTGTAAAGATTACCGTGACTTAACCTCAAAGTGTTTTCGTTCGAACGAAAAGGGAATAAATCAGTTTAAAATAAATTCAGTTCCATCAGGAACGGATCCCAGTGTTTTTTTTCCTCAAAAAACGTTGGCCGCTGAAACAAATGCCCTATGCCAGCTGATATCCACTTGGCCATCATTTCTACTGCGATCTCTCGAGCAATGAAGCATATCGAATCGCCCAACGATGCTCTGCGAACCTCTTTTAGGTACGAAAACTTACCGACAGATTACCGACCATCGGCTGCCTGACAGTTAATATTTCATGATATAATTTATACAACCCACAACTCGAGAAAAAATGGATTGAAATTGCGTCAATTTACATTTTTCCTAATTATGCACTGTTTATTGAGCGTGGTTGCCAAAATGCTTCGTTCTGCGGATCCCTTTGTTTTGAGCTGACTAGAAAAAAATCGTTGGATAGCTCGCACGGTGTTAAGTGTCTTCGAGCAGAATGTCTTCAGCTTCATATTTCAATTCTTCTAGGAGTTCAACAATGAGATCCACAAGCTTCTGTAGACTGAAAAAAAAACATCATTCCTCAATAAACTTAAAACAAGGGAGCTACATTATGATGTTCTGACCCAATGAGTTCTTACACTCAAGAAACTGTCTAAAGAAGGCTATAAAATAAAAACGAGGTAAGGGACTTGTCAGAAATTAGCAGGGGGGGAGGGGGGGTGGGAATTTTAAATTTGGGTTCGGAAATTAGGTGACCCATCCCTGCAATGGGAGTGAAATTTGCTAACCCTCCCCTTGAGCTTGGCCTAAAATATCATGACCCTCCCCCTCTTGTATAAATGATAAAATCTAGTTCTTGCAATACACTAGGGTGCGTCAGTATTATGAAAACTCAAAATATATTTCTAGTCTGTTCTTTGTCATGCTACATACATACATTTTCGATGACAGCATTAAGAGTCCGACTGATCACTCGACTCTCCTATTTCTCCCAATACAAAGTCTTCATCACTAGAACAAGTGGGTAATGCCTCATCCCCTTCATTTACCTCACATTCATCATGATCATCCACCTCTTCCAAATAAAGAACTTCCTTTTTCTTCTGGGTAAACCAACCTCTACATGATCACGGGCATATATTTGCATGACCCTCCCCTTTTAACTGCCCATTTTTCATGACCCTCCCTTTTCTGAGGCTCAAAAAGTTGTGACCCCCTCTGTTTCCACCCCCCTCCCCCTGCTAATTTCTGACAAGTCCCTAAACTAGAAAAATACACTGCAGTCAAAACATTGTGATCAATATAATAGAAGAGACTAACTCTATATCATGAGATAAACGATAAAATGTTCATTTATTTACAAAATCACGATGAACAACATTTTTTTGGAAATAGGATAAGAAAGAAGGGAAGTTTTGAGCTTGGTAAAAAAATAGATGTTTTTGTCTCGTCACCAGCATGGGACAAAGAAAAAAAAACTAAATTTTTTTTTTTAAATACCAAAGAGCAAGGTGTCATTACCTTAACTTAACTGCAGTTGTCTCATCAGCTTTACTTTCATTGGAGGGATCTGATGCAGAATTTTGTTGTGCTATTTGGAACTGAGCTGTCTAATAAATAAAAGAGTTATTTTTTTAACATACAATTAAAACTTTATCTAATAATAATAAATAGATGCTTTATAATAATGATAAATGCTCACATAAACTACTTATTTGCTACTACTTGAACTTTTAAGTGCAATAATTGAAAATGATTCATATCATTCATAACGTCCATGGCAAGGAGAAAGTTTTCCAGCAAAGGTTGATAATTTGGTAGTAAGGTTGCCTTGTAACCTGTCACATAACAATGAACAATATGTCTTCCTACCAAAGCCTTCAAGAAGAAAATTTTCCTTACACGTTCTGTTCATCAATATCCCCCAAGACCTTTTTCTTTTTTTCTTCAGAGCTGCCATTGAAGCAATACAACCCATTTCCCACTCTATAACTGTTTTTTTTTTTTCAGTATGATTAATAATGTCTACCATGTTTTGTAATTCTTTTTTTCTTTCTTTTTTTTTTTTATCTCAGGGGCAGTGCCGTAAATTGGCCACCATAAAGAGTAAAAAAGCTGACAATTCAAGCACTAGCCCTTCGTCAGAGCAAAGGGATAATAATAACTATTCTTTTTGTATCTTGTATTTTCCATTTATATTTTATACTGTATTTATTTGGTGTATTAGTATTATATGAATCATACCCAATAAAGCTGTTTAGAAAAAAAACACTTATGATACTTGAGGAACCCCTAACATTGCTTGTAAATCAATGATCTCATGATTACCACCTAGGTTTTCATATTGTGCATGTAACAGCTGGGAAATTTTGTTGTATCGCTATAATAGCAGTCTTAACCTCTAGCACTTTAAAATCAGTATGCGTATTCTCTATACTGTTCTATACCAGTACATTCCCTAAGGTGCCAACAAGTAGAATTTCTTTAACAATCAAGAGCTTCTTTAGCTGGTGATCAATCATTTTCATAATTCTCATGAGCTTAACCCTTTACAGGCTAACATCAGTATTCATATTCTCCATACTGTTCTCTGCACATTTATTAATGTGCTGACAAAGAGAATTTGTTCAACAATCAAAAGTTTCTTTAGTTGGTGATTATTTCCTTTATTCTCATGACATCAATGTGTGATTCAGTGGAGATAATGTAGGGAGAAATTAAATGCTAGTCACTCTAAGGGGTTAAAAGGTTAATGTGTGATTCAAAAGTGATATTGTAATGGGAAATTAGATGCTTAGTCACTCCTAACCCTTTCACTCCCAAGATCTAATTAGTAGTTCTCCTTAGTATCTGCCATACATTTTTCATGATGTTAGTTCAGAGCATTGATATTCTTCTCTATTCTCATCACCTACCTGCTTGATACTGTATTGATATTGTAAGGAGAAATTCTGTCTTGGTCACTTGTGGTAGTGAAAGGGTTAACGGTAAAAAAGTAAGAGGAAAAAATAGAAACTAGAACAAACCAATTCAACTGTCTGGAGATTTTTGCTAAAAGAACTGGTGAGGAATTTTTTTTTTCAACCTTCATTTGCTCACTTACCAGTTCCAGTTTCTCTTTTTCTTTCAGCTGAATTCTTCTGATTAGTTCTGCAATACTGGTATGTCCAGCCTCCCTAAAATTTGTTTCAATTGTAATAACATCACTTGATATCTTATTGAATTTCTGTGTTATATCATGCACCAGTTGCCGATATGATGGGAAGTCATAGTCAGGAGCACTCTCAAGATATTCTTTGAAACCACTGAAAGAGAATGAACAACAAATTTGGTCACAAAAAATACAAAAGCAAACCAACAAACAACGACAACAACAACAACGATAACAGCAACAACGACAACAACAACAACAAAAATATAACCATTCTTAGCTTCGAAACTTCTCATTAAACAAAACTTTTCCGAGAATTTGACAGGGAATAGCCGATAGAATGCAAAACAATGCACGGAACAGCACAACGTGCTTTCAATTAAGGAAGGTGCTTTACCCTAAATGACGGAAAGAAAGATTTACCTGTCAAATGTTCTGTACGTCTTTACTCTTTCTTCTTGCAGAGTAAAAAACTGCTTGATCAGTTCCTTATGACTCATAGCTGACGCAAGGAATATTTACCGCGTTACATTTAGCTCAGCGATGAAGACGATGATGATCAAAATCATCAGGCGTTCTCAGCGTATACACTCGAAAAGACTGGGTATGAATCAGGACGGTACTCTCCCCGACTCCCCCGATTTGGATCTCGGTCACCAGTTCAACAAAAATGGCGGACGTTCCGTCGAATGTCACTTATAAACAGCTTCATGAACGGTTTGTGAGTAATTTGAATGGCACATCGGTGTTTGAAATCGGCAAAGTTGCTAGTGCTGCGCCAATTGGTATTTTTCTTAGGTCAATCTTATTTAATATATTGTTTGCGAAGCAAGAAAACCTTACTGGTTCACTCTTCTGTTGGTGAGTATAACACACTTTTCTTTGAAAGTGCAAACACTCGAAAATCGAGATCTCTTACAGTAGTAATTAAAAAAAATCGAGCTGAAGATATTTTGCTATGAAAATAACGATGACTGTTCTCATTAAAAAACTACTGTATTTCAAGGAAAAAGTGTTAATCGGTGCGCTAGCTGTAGATTTCCAACTCGATATAATTTGAAGTTTTCTACTGATATGCCCAATAAATTCGGATTTTTAAGGAAAGAAACTAGCATCGGAAATTTTCTGCTAACTATGCCAATTTTAGAGCGCTTAGACTCAACTTCGAGTATAGAATAGCTGGCTGTATGATATGGACTACTTCGATGAGTCCACGCTTTTCGATTTCCTCTCCATCAAGGAAAAATCTGCCTAGTTGTCCAATAGATCAACGAGAGTTTTTAAAACCTAGGAAGTTTCATGACAGTCCCTGGCAAACTTATGAAATTATTGGATCCAAAACTGATGGTAATTCTCATAAGAAATATGAATTTTGGCAAGTTTTGGGCTCCATAATTTCATGCGTTGGAAGTTGGTAACAGATACCACTAAAACTTAGCATGTTTTCAAAACTCAGCATTGTAAATGGAAATATGGAAGGTTTTACAAAGTTTGAGTTGAAAATCAAAGAAACTGAAATGAATTTGGCAAGAAGCAGCATAATTTGTAACTTGCAACCCTTTTCCTCCCATGATCTGATTGTCAATTCTCCCTTCTCGCTGCTACACATTTCTATGTAAATTAATTACGAGAATTTGGTGTTAGATCAAGATAACTTCTACCCAATAAGTTTGAATATTCTCATTACCTGTTTTCTGGATAATATATATATATTTTAGGGAGAAGTTACATGTTACACTGTAATCACTTCTTTGAGTTAAATGGTTAACAGATGTTTTCTTCTGTGCATAGTTCTATCCCAAGCCCTAGGTGCCGCAGTTGCTTTTGAGTATTAGACCCAGTACCTTAACCCTTTAATCTGTAACAGTGACTAGCATCTAATTTCTCCTTACAATATCGCCCCTAAATCACACATTATGGTAACAAGAATAAAGGAAATGGTTACCAACTAAAAAAGTTCTGGATTATGACACAATTTCTTCTCATCAGCACCTGAGGGAATGTATAGGGAACAGTATGGAGAATTTGCATGCTTATGTTAGGGTGGAAAGGGTTAAAAGAAACTGTTGAAATGAACTTTTTGTCGAGTAGAACATATTTTTGTTGACTTTTTTTTCTTTTGTAGCATAGTCTTTCTGTTGGAGTATTGTACCCTGGTGGTCCCCTCATTACTGGCAGTGACCATTCTGGCTGATCACATAAATATGCTAATTACAACCTGTTTATGTCTATCAATGGGGATGTTGTTCTTGCAAGCACTGAACACCAGTAAACTTCAAAAACAGAAATTTCGAGCAATACTATTTGCTGACATGTCTGGAAGACTGCCTTTTATTGGAAGCTTCAGAGCGTATGTAGTGATTGCTACAGCCATCTGTATACTTGCTGTTGACTTTGTCATATTTCCTCGGCGCTTCGCCAAAGCAGAAACATATGGAAGTGGACTGATGGACATGGGAGTTGGAGCATTTATATTTTCTAATGCTATAGTATCACAAGAAGCAAGAAGTGTTCATTCAACTGAAACATTGAGCAGCTTTTTCGGGGTGCTATTTAGATCTTTGAGGTCTTCTTTACCATTACTAGTAATTGGTTTTTTGCGTCTGATTTCTGTCAAAGGAACAGATTATCAAGAGCATGCAAGCGAGTACGGGGTTCACTGGAACTTTTTCTTCACTTTATTTGTTGTAAGGGTGAGTAAAAAGTGTTCTTTTGCTATAAATTACTTTTCAATGGCACGCTTTTCAACTGAGTGTCTTAAAACCATAACCAAAGTAATCTCAATAATATATCACAGTAAGCAAAATATTGCAAGAAGCTCATTAGAACTCAAAGCAAAAACTTTTTTACTGCCTGGAGTGCAGGTCTGACTAGCAGGGTTTTTTTTCTTTCTTTCATTCATCTTTCATTCTTTCATTAACCCTTTAACTCCCAGATCAAATTTGTAATTCTCCTTACTGTCAACCATACTATTCTTATAATGTTAGTAGTCAGAGAATTTAGAATTGGATCAACTAATTAATTTTTCTTTATTCCCATCACTTATTTGGTCGATATTGCATTGATATTGTAAGGAGAAATTCTGTCTTGGTCACTCATGGGAGTTTAAGGGTTAATTAATAAATTCATTGATTCTGATCATTGATTCATTGATTTGTTTGTTCTTTCTTTGTTTCTTTCTTTTTTCAGACGTTCTTTCTGTCTCTCTTACTCTCTTTTAGTCTGTCATTTGACCAGTCCATCTGTGTATCCTTCCATCCATCCAATCGCTCCTTCCATCTGTCCAGGTCTCAGTCAAATTGCAATCCTTCATTCATGCATTCTGGCACTCCCTCTCTTATTCACTCATCTTCATTTACATCTTCATTTTCTCACCTTGTAGGTAATGTCAACAGTGCTTGTTAGATTCATCCCTGGTCACAGCTGGTACGGTGTAACAGGAATTATTTTAGCTGTCTTGTATCAATACCTCCTTAGCATGGGTGGTTTGAGAGAGTTTACATTAAATGGAACACAAGGAGATGGATCACGTCAAGGATTACTGGATGCAAATAGAGAAGGGCTATGTTCGTGTGTTGGTTATTTAGCTCTCTACCTTATTGCTGTTCAGTTTGGAAAATTTCTCTTTTGTAAACGGTAAGAGTTTATGTGGGGTTAAGCTTTGATTTCATAAATGTAAGATGGTTCATGCTCTTACTCTGTGCTTGGCTTCTCATGTCAGGCACCACCAAAGTATGCAAAGCAAGTTTATAGTTGTGCAAAAGCATTAGATCATCATTTAATTCCTGGAAGTGTATGTAGGTTGTTTCTCACAGACATCTAGTCACCTGAAAGTGTAAACTTTGAGCATTCATTTTTTCTAAGCAAAATCATTTCCATGAGTCATGAGAAATAAGTAAAAAGATATTTTGGTGATTGCTCCCTCTCTACAGAGTTCATGTGGCTCTGGCGTATTTTTTGGGTCTGTTTTGACTGACTTGCATGTCTGACTCTATTGACTAAAAAGGTCTGCTCATACTCATAAGTTTAGGTTCAACATCTGAGGGGAACACTGTCTTGTATTTTTCCTTTTACTGAAGTCCTGTCTCTTGTTCCAGCAAAAATTCTACCTACTTTAGTTTGTAACCCTCTCTAACATTTTTTTAAAGAAATCATGTCTCAACCTTTTAAGTCCCATGAGTGACCAAACAGAATTTCTCCTTACAATATCAATACAACATCAACCTGGTAAGTGATGAGAACAAAGAAAAATATCAATTTGGGGATAATTAATTGATCCAATACTAAATTCTCAGAACTAATGTTGTAAGAATTGTATAGTTGACATTAAGGACAATTGCAAATTTTATGTGGGAGTTAACAGGTTGAAAGACGGCAACGGGATGTCTAATCAAAACAAAGAAAACCAGCATAAGATAATATAGTCAATTAACTAATATATTCAATTTGTTACATCCAAACTGTTTGTTAAGTACCTCAGGTAATCATTGAATGTATCTGTGTAAGACTTTTTATGATCCTCTTCTGTTGCTTTTTAGGAACACTGTAGGACAGTGGATCAAAGCATTTTTAATCCTAGTCACCATTGATGTTACATTTTATGCATTGGTTCGTATATCACAGCAGTTTGTCAGCCCTATTTCAAGAAGAATGGCAAACTTATCTTTTGTCCTGTGGCAGGTATGTTTGCAGGACAATGTAGACTTCATAACAAAATGACAGCAAAAAGTATAACTCTGATAAATAATAATAAAAGCACACATGAAATCCACACTAATAAAATAACATACATATCTCCAATAACTTAAGTTGTATGAACTTATTTAATTTTTATTACATAGTATTTTGAACAATGCTGTTTCTTGTGTCAGGTGGTAGGTACTGTGGTGCTCTAATAAGGTTAACAAATCTGAAAACTAGTTATAACAAAATTGAATTTTCATGTCAAGAACATGAATGGAAGAAATAGCAAGCATTGGAAATTTCATGTTGATGCAAACAAATGGCAGTCTGGAAACATTCATATCCATTTACTGTTGCATTTGTTTGTAGGATTAGGAGTATCATAGATGTTCTACCTCAATCATGTAGATCACTGTCATATCTCCAACTGTCAAATTAATTTACTCTACTGTAGCAAAACACAGCTAAGTGGTGGTTGATAACAGGGATTTTACACTGTTGACCTCTTACCGCGGTCTGTTAAGCCTGCTAGCAGGTTCTCGTGTTAGTGGTTTGCCTTACAGCCCCTCCTTTGGGCAAAGTTACCTATTACACCACCTTCAGTTGCTCCTGAAAAAAATTATTGATACCCCTGTTGATGAGGTAGCCAAATCAAGGATGCTTGTCAGCTGTTTTTTCAGCATTGGTTTTGCTTTGCTTCCACATTTCTAGGTTTACAATATGATTTAGAGCTAGTGAAGTAAAATTTATGCTATGCATATGCACTAACCCTTCGACTCCCAGATGTGATTAACCTGTAACTTCTCCCTAAAATATCCATATACTATCCTGTAAACGGGTAATGAGAATACTCAAACTTATCAGGTAGAAGTTGTTATCCTGATTTAAAACCAAATTCTTGTGACCAATTTATGAGGAAATGTGTAGCAGCTAGAGGGGAGAATTTACAATCAGATCTAGGAGTTAAAGGGTTAAGTCCCAGCCAGACCATGGATTTTACGAACATGTTTGTCACTGGCCCTGTTACCTTAAGCTGCCATTTTGAAGAAACTTTATTCAAACAGCCGACGGTAACCGTAACCTCCAAAAAGTCATTCTTCCAATTATGTTGTTGCTTATGTATGTTTTGTTCCTCTTTAGGTGGGATACAATGTTCAACTTATCTCAGAGTTCTTGCTTTGTGATATACTGATAACCACTGCAAATCACCTGGGCTTGCTTGAAGGCGCAATAACTGGAGGCTGTCACGTTTGTTATCCCGGAAAAGTCCCGGATGAGAATGGCAAAACGTCACGGACCAAGCAGAAGATGCCATGCACATGTTTCATATCAGCTGTTAACCGAAATCAGCTTTTGTTCTTTTTGCTTTCAAATGTATTAACGGGAATGGTGAACTTTTCCATAAAGACAATATTCTGTACTCCACTGAAGGGATTTGTAATAGTTGGTATTTACCTGATGGTGTTAAACTTTTTAATTTCTGTCTTACATCTACGAGGGAAAACTTTGAAACTTTAATGAAATTCATACAGATCACTGGGCATGTCAGGCTATTTTGTACCTTTTATTTTAGCAATAAAATTGTCTTCACATGAAGATATCTGTCATTTAATGAACAGGTTACATTTTGAACCAGTATCAATCAAGTATCAGTAGAGCGTGTTCGCTCCAGCTTAGGAGTGAAAGTTTTTGTTTCGGCCCAACAAACTCCCGTAGAGGAATTGCAGCTCTCTTGCGAGAAAAATTGGTGTACTTGGTTTTCATTCGCATCCCAGATAACATTTATTTCATTAAAGACTATGATCTCAGAAATCTGTCATTATTTATGAAGGTATGATGTCTGTGGTTGCGCCTGGATTTCATATGATCTTCAAGAACATTTGATCTTTTTAGTTAGAGCTCAAGCAATAGATATATCTCATGAAACGTTTTGTTGTGTAGTGTTGCTCTGTATTTTTAAGGAATTCTACCGAACGAGTAAAATAGCTCAGCGATACTATCCACCGAAACGTTCTTCTAGGACAGAAAAGCGAAAAACTGAAGAGGCGATTTGTGATAGGTCCTGCGAAGCGCTCTCGTTTGATTGGCTCATGAAACATGAACCTGTCAAACAAGGTTTCAAAGGTGAACTTCATCTGCGACCTTCCGCAAACGAAACTGAGCATGAACACTACTTAAGGCGTTTTCAAAACAAGAGATTTTTAAAATGCAAATACACAAGACCCTTGCGGGACAGGTAACGAACGAAAATACTTTATTAATTATTTAAATCTGTCATTAACACTCCATGACGTTTTTCTTCTTTCCCTAACAAACGAATAAGTTTTACATCTCTCTATAAATGCATAGAGATCACACTGATTGTGCTATGCATAATGACAGTGGACAAAGCCACATATTACCAGTAAAAATAATGGAGGAAAAAATTAAATGATCCTATTGACGTAAATGAAGAAGTCTAATGCAGTTGAGATATATCACAATTAAAAGTTTATCAATATTTACAAAGCTGATTCGAATCTATCTGTATGTTTTTTGAATTAAAAGGCATTTTCCAGGAAAGAATTCGATATCTTTCGGCAAACATTTTGACCCAGTCTCTTTTTAACCAAATTCTTCCTCAAATGGTACCTAGTTCACTTTACTCATTTTAATTTTTTTATTTGGTGTCATGGTGTCTTTCAAGACACGAGTTAATTTCATGCGGTTTTTTATAAAAACTAGCGTAATTTTCACTAATTTAAAGCGCCTCTAAACGCCAAACTACCGACACCTTCCTATCTATATCAAATATTTTTCAAACACATTATTTTCGTTTCATGCCACCATTATCAACCAGAAAATCCAAGTATTCAGCGCCTTTACGGATCGTATATATCACTTACAAGCGTAGCATTCCAACTTTCTTTTACGACCTCAAAAGCTGATTGTATGGTGTATTCCAAATATCCACCGAGATCGAAATACGCTGTGTTCACCAAGAACACATCCTGTCGGGTCAGAGATCGTATCGCCCATTGCCGAATAGTCGTTCAGTTAAAGTTGCCCCCGAGCTTCTAAAAAAACTTACGTCATTGAATAATGACAATGAAAGAATCTTAAAACAAAAAAAAAGAAAAAAAAAAAATAAGCTCAGAAATGACCCTGTCAAAAGTGAGCAAAATTGGCGTTCTTTCTTTGGCAACTCATTTCTCTCTCCTTCTCAAGAGGTTGTTTAGGTTGTTGGAGCAATGGTTGTTGATGGAACAGTAGTTGTTGGATTTTTTGTGGTTGTTGGATTTTTTGTGGTTGTTGGTTGTGCTGTGGTTGTTGGTTGTGCTGTGGTTGTTGGTTGTGCTGTGGTTGTTGGTTTTGCTGTGGTTGTTGGTTGTGCTGTGGTTGTTGGTTGTGCTGTGGTTGTTGGTTGTGCTGTGGTTGTTGGTTGTGCTGTGGTTGTTGGTTGTGCTGTGGTTGTTGGTTGTGCTGTGGTTGTTGGTTGTGCTGTGGTTGTTGGTTGTGCTGTGGTTGTTGGTTGTGCTGTGGTTGTTGGTTGTGCTGTGGTTGTTGGTTGTGCTGTGGTTGTTGGTTGTGCTGTGGTTGTTGGTGGAACAGTAGTTGTTGGATTTCCTGTGGTTTTTGGTTGTGTAGTGGTTGTTGGTGTAGTAGTTGTTGGTGGAGCAGTAGTCGATGGATTTTCTGTGATTGTTGGTTGTGCTGTGGTTGTTGGTGCAGTACTTGTTGGTTTTGTTGATTTTGCTGTGGTTGTTGGAGTAGTGGTTGTTGGTTTTTCTGTGGTTATTGGCTGTGCTGTGGTTGCTTGAGCAGTGGTTGTCGCTTCTTTTGTGGTTATTGTTTGTGCTGTGGTTGCTGGAGCAGGTGTTGTTGGTGGAGCAGAAGTTGTTAGTTTTTCTGGGGTTCTTGGTTGCACTTTGGTTGTCGGAGCAGTGGTTGCTGATGGGGCTCCAGTCGTTGCTTTCTTTGTGGTTGTTGGTTGTGCTGTAGTTGTTGGTTTTCCTGTGGTTGTTGGTTGTGCTGTGGTAGTATCTTCACCACCTGATGAAATAATGAAAAAACAGAAACATCATCAGCAGCATCATCCCGCCTCCCGCCCATATTTCATCCATACTGGGGGCGGGGGTTGGTCTGTTGCTTCCGAAATGGGAGTTGCAGTGATATTTGTAATTTATTACGGATTTCTTTGGACCAGGTGTGGTTGATGCTTTATATTAGTTATCATAGCAAAAGTTTAAACTTTCGCGGTTGTCGCCTGAATAGCTGTTAGTCTTTGGCTAGATGGCGGTTCAGTTTCTTTAGCTGTTGCCAAAGTTCTGTTGGTACTGTCTTAGCAGTCCTTATTGCTAAATAAAGGGGATCTTGGAGCCAGTTCATTCATGTTATGGCTTAAGTAGTATTGATTTCTTGGAGTTGTTGATATTGAATTCGGTTAATGTGAACTTTCAAGGAATAAATTTTCTTTAATTTTTGGGCAATTGTGTGATAACAAAACTTGTGCATTCGTCATGATGGGAATTGGAAAAAAGGTTGTGTGGGCTGGAGGTGGGAGGGGCAGAGGTTACTGGGCAGACAGCGTCCTTTTTGTTGATGTGTGTGTGGGTGTTTGTGGGGCGGAGGGTGGGCTGGGTGGGCATAATCAGGCATCAAAGGTTGCTCTAGCAGCAAAATATTAACAACCCTAATCTTTCACGATCATACGCACTATTGTGAAATATTCCTTTCCTGTTTCTTGAGAATTTCAAGCCTTCATATAGTCTGATTTTCACATATTAATATTTGCGTAGTCACCGAACAGATAAGAGATACAACCACCTGAAAAGTAAACAAATGGCCAGTCACGAAACCAACGCTTCGCTTTTTCCCTACAAAAATTCGCTGGTTCCTCATGCAAGCCAATAACAATATACGACACATAAGTCAAAATCAGTTTGTGTAAACCCCTGAACGTTGAAAATATATCAATCCGAAGGAACAGTTTTGATTTCAGTCCGCATTTTTGTCAACAAAATTACACATATCGGTTAAAAAGATGAAACGTATAGACCACGTGCAAAGCTGTCAATTATTTCCCAAATCTTGCGCGTGTTAAATATTCAAGTGACACCTCATTTACATCTACATCTACTTTTATTAACTTGGTGAATTCTGTACAGACATCTCGCACACAAAGTGAGAGGACTATATGAAGGCTTGAAATTATATTAGGAACGATTGTGATCAAGAAGCGGGCAAGGAATATTCCACAATAGTGCAAATATAATCGCGGAGAAGCGATTGCGTGACGCTTGGTAAGCTGTAAGATGACATATTACCACGTATCAAACGAAAAAATGGTATAATTTCTAAGTCTACTGCATTTTGTACCCAGTCTGCAGTCTGCATTTTGTACCCGTTCTGCAGTCTTCAGTCTGCAGTCTGCTTAGGGTTAGACTTGTACTGACGGGATTGGTATTGCTGTTTTTGTTCGAGCGAGCCTTGAGTCCGGACCGAAATATTGGAGCTCAAAACAAAATTCAAGTGAGACTATCTTGGCCGCTATGATTAATGTGAAGACTGTATGTTGAAGAGCTCCCGTGGACAAGCACAATGATAGAGCAATGATTACTTAATACCAACTGAATGCGACCGCAAATGCGTGGCTTACCAATAAGGCTGCCTCTGATGTTCTTCTGCGTGGTGACAGCGTGTGTTGAAATGAACCCGCTACGGGTCCCCTGGGTGTAAAAATTTCGGCTTCTCGATTCAAGTTGCATTTTTAGAAGTTCGGAAATGTGATTTGGTTTATTATTTTATTAAAACGTACAAACATTTTATTTCTTTTCACGTGAGTTTCTGACCTTCATCGAAATTAATTTTGACTTTCACTAAGTGGTGAGGGGTAGCATGCGAGATTACTTCCGTTCACGGTCTCCAATGCAACTTCCGTTCACGGTCGACAACTTCCGTCAACATCTGCTTCACCTCAGTACCTCAATCATTACTTTCAGAATGAATGAGCTAAAACTCGAGCAACAACGCCGCCATCTTGCGTGACGTCATTGAGCTCTACCTTGCCGTGAAACAAACGTGGCTGCTGTAGGAACATATCATTCTGAGCCAGAACGTGTTCCCGGAGAGAACAAGGCGTCCGATGAAGATAGTGATGCGTCTGAAAGACCTGGCAGTTTGAATTGATTGATTGTGTTCCTAGTGAACTCAGAGGAACTGAAAGAGAGTACGTCTGTTTTCTCGAACGGTCCGAGTCGGAAAAAAGGTTTACGTTTAAAGAATATGATTTTAATTACCTGAGTCTCAGAAAAGGTGGATCTTGAATTAAAACCTCAAAATGGCACAGCGAAATTTTAAACTAACGTTAACTTCTTATTTCTTCAATACATGATTGTGCGGACAGACATCGTAACCCTAAAAAAATCACTTATCTTTAAACGAGATGTTTAATTTTAAATACCTCTGAAATGTTCTTGAAGAGTAGCTTTTCCGGAACCAAAGATTGCAGCTACACTTATTATTATGCCAATAATGACGAGTATTGCTAGCAGCAATAACCAAAGTTGCCA